GAATAATATATTCAAGATAATAAAGTAGGAAAAATTAAGCAAAGTGTTGATAAAACTAAAGGAAATCACAAAAATATGTTAATTGAAATAATGAAAAATGTTGACCAAATGACTTTTGAGGATACTCGAAATTTAGCTTTCGTCTTTCTTGGAGTTATATTGTGTATATTTAGATGATTATCCATCTTGATTTCAAATAAATATGATTTTGAAGTGAAACTTCTTTACTGGGGTCCAAAAAAAGAATATATTATCGCTTATCACGGTCGGTCGTCACGTTTGTTCCGTGACAACCAAACTGAAATTAATTCTATAGTTTTATTAAGTATACGGTCAAAATTTTATTGTTCGATAAACGTATAAGTTCAATAAACGTGTACATTTGATAAACATGAGTGTTCGATAAACATTTACGTTCCACGATTGTTTGCAATTTATAATAATATAAATACAAATTTTGAATTTTATATTCATACAACTAGATCTTTAATGTTAAAATATTAACTTTAATTAACGTATTACTATTTAATAAAAATAATTTATTACTAATACTTGTAAATTTATAAATTAGTTAATTTAACTCACTTAATGTGAATTTTAAAAAATGTACTGCATTTTTTATTTTAAATAATTTAATAACACAAATTCTAAAACAAAAAATTCACAATTGCATCACGTTAAATTAAATTAATTAAAGAACTTTAAACAACAATATTTCAATTTTTAAAAAAAAGTGCTATATATATTTTATATTATGATTTAATTAAATCTATTTATTTTCATAATTAAAATAAATAAGTATACTTAAATTATATAAATATTAAAATAGATAAATACAATTAGTGAGAATTATTTATTTTTATTAATAATGAAATAAGTACACTGTCAACAATGAATAATTAATAAAAATAATGATTAAATGTAATTATCATATTATGTTATATTTAAATATTGAAATTTATAGGTATTACATTTATTTATATAAATGAAAAGAAAAGATCAATTTTACATACTTTTATTTCCCGAACTTAACATGCTATAGTGGCGGTGGCCATCTTTTACGTGTTAAATAATTTATGATATAGTTCTTGGCTAGGAAAGTATGGATAGGATGGATATTATGGGTGGTTTGTACCAGATACCAGGCACCACCAATGAAAAAAACACAAAAAAAATCTCGTTAGGGATAAAACCAGAGTGATCAGTTTATTATGATCACGTTACCATTATCCTAAGAATTTAGTATAATAAAATACAGACAGCACATCCGCTGCTAGAGACTGATGAATTAACAATTAATATTTATTGCAAAATTGGCAATCGTCCAAATTATTATAAAAACCCAAAAGTCTTGGTCAGTCGACTCCAGTGCCCTATATCATTCATCAGTCTCAGAACTCGGTTGTCACTGTCCGGCTTACTGCATAAAGTCAAATCTTTGTTTTTCCTTTTTCGCCCAACTTACTCTCATCCTCGAAATTTCAGAGTGCTTGTGTCTTGCACTTCGTCTGCACCTCTTACCTGGGTGTTACTCTTATTCCCTTTCTATAACAAAGGCCTTTTGACACCCACAACTAATCTGGAGTGTAAGCCGAGCACGGTAACTGTTGTATGATTACACGCACGTGAATACCCAGTCGGCAGACTCAATATCATCGTCGTACGTACATTACTACTCTATTTTACACTTTTTACTTTTCGTTTTGTGTTATGATAATTATAAACCACTCGAATACTCGCATAATAAATACAATGTTGGAAAAATGAAATTTATTTTCTTTTAGCTACATTTAATTCTTGATTTATCTGATCATATTTACTTTTTACTATTATACCTTAAAATGTATAGGGATGTCAACATTATTTTTTTTCAATGTTGAAATAAATATTTAATTAACTTATAAAATAGAAAATTATATGATTAAGAAAATGACAGGTCGATAATAACATTTTTGGACCAGTTCATTGGATGTTATTCTTATTTTATGGTGGGACAAAGAGTACGGCCGGGAAATGACTGGCGATAAAAAAAACAACTCCTACTTCTCGCTTCCAGTTATTGTTCTAAATTATTAATAACTTGTGTAATCCAAAAGTTGTTATCGACCAATAATTTTCTTAAATATTTAAACATTTAAGTAATGTTATTTAAAATGCATTAAATAATTTTGATTGTGCATCAAAAATAATTTAAAGAACCACAATAGATGCAATTTTCACTCGATATCATCATAACGCCAAATTAAAAACTTACATAAGCTATTTTCAGTTATCATAAGTCCATTATATATTTCAGGATAATAAAATAAGAAAATTATAACAATAATTATAATAATAATAAATTTAATTAATTTCAATTGAAAATAAAATGTTTCGGTGTATTTTTTAATATTATTCCAATACAAACCTAATATTCTAATAGTACTCTGAAAGAAGTTTCACTTTATCCGCGCGTACTTGCAACACGTACTATTTTTTTTTAACAAAGTTCTGTTTTTAATATTTTTAGTTGGATCTGATTCAACATCTGTGACAATTTCTAGTTTAATATTCTTATTGTCTTATCATCAAGATATTCAAAATAAGGTATTATTACTATTCTTCTGAAAATTGAATATCTTATTTGTGAAACTTTAATGATAACGTATTTGATGAACAAAACATGATTTTTTCAAATGGAAATACCAATCGTAAACCAACTTACGAGGATTTGCTTAAAATGAATTATCTTGAACAAGTTATCAACGAAACTCTTCGAATCTGCCCAGTTTTACCTTATGCAATACGATACGTTGAAGAAGAAATTTCAGTTGGAGATTTCTTATTACCTGCAGGTAATAGATACTAGACCAGTAAAACTATAATATACTAACATGAATAAGCATTAAGTACTCGACTTATCTGCTAATGTGCTAGAATTACACAAAGAATCAAAGACACATTATTAAATAAGCTTTTATTATAAAAAAAAAATAAAACCAGATACTAATAAGGATAGAAAATACATATCTTATAAGCTGTGAATTATATGGATTTATAAATTGTGCTATGTTAATCTGAATACACCATCAGTTAGTATAGACATTATAGTTTTGTGGTGTTTAGGGCGATTAATAGCCCATTAAAACGAAACATATTTTTGTGTTACTATATAATCCTACGATAACGTTACACTAACTCGGGACCTAAAATAAAATTACTGGTAAAAAGAACAGTACAGTTTTATGATAGTGATTTAAATCACTGTTATAAAACGTTCCAATGCGAATAGATTAATTTTGGACTGTTGATTTAAAAAAAATATATGACCCAAGTAATAAGAAATAATTAGAAAACATTTTTTCTAATTCTTTGAAAATACATTGTTGAGAATCATCACAACAATGCATTATTAAATCTAATTTGTTTTAAAATTATTATTTTAATACGAGTGAAAAGTTTTCAGACGTTTAACAAAATTTATAAATGTATATAAGTTCATTTCTTAATAATACTTTTAATGTAAAACAGGATAATAAACAACAATTTACAATATTATTTTACCATAGTGTAGCTAGATACAGCGATGGATTGCGTAATTATGACTCGCAAAATACTTTAAAATATCTTTATTTATAAGATATAGGGAATTACAATTAATTCAAACATTACAAAAATATTTTACTTCTAGCTTTTCAAATAATAGACTATATTTTATTTAGAACAATAGATCAAGAGATTACAATTAAACCAAATATTACAAAAATGTTTTACTTTCAGTTTTACAAAATAATGACCTATATTACACTCCCCTATGTTGAAATAAAAAATATGTCCTCATATTTTAAATAAGTAAATTTCCATAATTAAAGGATTAACAGGAGGGAGAAAAGAGAAAAAAAATTGTTTTTTTGAAAGTTAAATATATCTTTAAGACTGAACTGAACAAATCTTTTTCTTAACCTTGATAGGTATTATTAATATTAAATTTTTATTTCTATCACTTTATAGTTCTTAATATAATAAGTCTTTTAGTTCCAATTGTAGTCATAAATTAATTACATGTTTTTTAAGCTTACATTAAAGAATTAATTAATTAAACTTTTTAATAATCCAAAACCAAACAAGTACTCATATTACCATGGTCGTATCATAAAATTCTTATCAATTTTTTAATTTAAGCTTTTCTATAATTATATTTTTTTTTTGCCAATTTTAAAATGTTGACCATTTGAATAATTTTTTTTGTATTAACGCTTTCCACTCTTCAGTGCTCAAAATTAAAGAGTCACCTGAGCACCTTTGGGATTCGACTTTAAGAGAACACTAGATTGTAATCCAAATAAGAAGGGAGACTTCGCCCCCTCACATTAACCACTGTTTATTACGTCATTTATACATTTATAATTTTACTAAAATTATTGATACACTCCATAAATTAATTATCTACTTATATTATTCATACTTCCCATCATCATACATTTTATAAAATGTATTATTTTACTGAGAAGCAATTGTATGGGAATAATTAATTAACTGTAATTTTGTAAATATATTTATACAATTAACCGTGTATTCATAAGTATATATAAATATACACTCAATTACTCTTTGTGACTTCTATGTAACCTAAAATTGATATTAATTTTTCAATCGAGTATAGAATATTTGAATCTTAACACTGAACGTAAACAAGTACAATAGATAAAGTAAAGGAGTGGAATTTTTTTTTCCATTTGTAACATTCAATTATTAGTATTGCATACAACGTTAAAAATAAAAAATTGAGTTTGAAAAAGTAAAAAAACAAATAGATATTTACTATGATATGAGAATTCTAACTTTTGAAGTAATTAAGTAAAATATAATTGTTTATTAAGTATTAACAAATGATAGTGTACGATTAATAGTTGAAAGCAAAATAGGTTGTATCATATAAGTTGGTCAAGTTGGCAACCCTGTTTAATTGCGCTAAGTTTTCTTGGTACGTTTGGTCGATAAAAGAAATGATGTAATAAAATTGAGTTTTTGAATTTTCATTGATTTTCATCATATACATTTTTTTTGTAAAGTATTTTAGTTTAAACACACAACGATTATAAATTTTAATTGTTTGCTATGTATAAAACTAAACGAAAACAAAGAAAAAAGAAAAAAAATGAAGATAAAGAAGCAGTGTTGCAAGAGGTTGACAAAGCTATGTACAATGTACAAATTGCAGATCTAACTGAAAAATTAACAAGGTGAATTTTTTATGTTTCACATCACATAATTTATACTATGTTTATAATTGTTGAACAACATAATAATTTGTTATAAAAATAAAACAAATCGTGCGCTTAGATTTAAAATATTCTATGTGTAAAATTGTAATTTTTCAGGAGAGCATATTTAAATGTATTTGAGTGTTTTTCAGCTTATAATTATTTGATTTGGACTTACAAATAATTAAACAATTTTAAATTAAATTGGAATTTATACTATATCACCAGTTGATTAAGAAGGAACTTAGTAATCAGATAAAATTGATAATACTTAATTTCATAACTAATAATAAGAACCTGACACGGTCCCGCATCGCTTCGTGATACACGGTGCCCCGCGACCCGCCCCAACTTTATCTGTCATTGCCCTACGTGGGTGTTTGGTTGTTTGTCTGTCCAATTTCGCTTGTCATACGTCAAGGTTCAAAGTCCAGCAAGTGCCGCGCGGCCAACGACGACCCGCCGCAAATGACACGTCGAGTCTTCATTCCGTCGTCAAAGTGACGACGTCGAGGATATAGCCACCAGCTCTTGGCGTGTCCACGACCGGACGCGATGAACAGATCCGCGCACCGTCACTATCAATGATGCTAACTCATTGACGTCCAAAGATCATTACGGACACCGCGTCACCGAAGCCAGCGGCGAATGTCCTGCAATATTATGCAAAGATTTTAATTAATTGTGTTCGTCTATTCTGTTTTTAGCTTCGATGCGAAGCTGAGAAGGTATTGGTTTTACTAAGATGTGTTTTTTTTTTTTGTGTCTGTTACCACTTTTTCTCAGCTCTCACCGAACCAATTTCTTTCAATGATACGTCAAACGATCACAAATTGTATCTAGTCGAAGATATTACCCTCAAAAATTGAAAAAAATTCNGTATCTAGTCGAAGACATTACCCTCAAAAATTGAAAAAAATTCCCTCGTTCCCCGTAAATGGGGGAAACCTCCAAAAAAATTACGAATTTAAAAATCGCTAATTTTCGAAATTTTTTCAATTTTTTTTACTTAAAAGTGCCATAACTTTTTCAAAAATAAACAAATCAATATAATAATTTTTTTTTATAGATGCATGATATCATTACCTTTAATTTGGAATATTTTTTTATAAATTTAACCCTTTACCTGCCCACAAGGGGGGATTTAAAATGACAACTTTTTCACAAAAAATTAACTTTTTCAACTTAACTTTTGAAAATGTTCCGGAAGGTCTGACACTTTTATATATATCTTAAATTAAAGCTAATGTAATATACTTTATTATGCAAAAAAAAATTTCGGACTTTATTTTATCTTCACGGTGAAAATGGCTACCGAATGTTATTATTGTGTGAAGATTCTCGATTTTATTTTTTACATTTTTAACATTATAATGCTATAACCAATTGAAAAGTGTATGGATCAACATAATTTTTTTTTGAGAAATAATATTTTTTAATAATCCCTTTTTAATTCGACANATTTTTTTATGAGAAATAATATTTTTTAATAATCCCTTTTTAATTCGACATACTTTATCTTAATCAGGATATTAATAAGGAACTAGCAGATCATGTAGCTTTTGGAATAATCCACCCATTTTTTAAAATTAAACACAATCTAAAGATTTGCATCGAAGCGTTTTATTTTGATAGTGATTTTTANTTTATGAAGCTTTTGGAATAATCCACCAATTTTTTAAAATTAAACACTATCTAAAGATTTGCATCGAAGCGTTTTTTTTTGATAGTGATTTTAATCACTGTCAGATATCATTATACTTGATCCAACTATGCCACGTCACCACTGTGCCGCGACCCCCCTGTGCTGGGTTTTTTTCTATATGTTAATACTTGTTATGGACTAATTTTTAATAATATCAAAAATTAGCGGTGGTAGAAAAAATCTAATTGATGATTTGAGCACGAAAAATTGAATAAAAGTATATTTTTGATGAAAATTATTTGTAGACCATTTATTCATAATTAACCCTCACTAGACTTACTTTTTTGAACAATACGTCAAATGATTACAATTCGTATTTAGTTGAAGATATTACCCTTAAAAATTGAAATATTATTTCTTATATAAATAAAAAGTAGCTTAACCAGCTTTTTCCATACAAACAATTAAAATCATTCATTTCTAATATTTTTAAAGTATTTATTGTTGAATTAGATTTGATATGATAAAAGTATTCAATAACAAAAGTAAATAATTTTACTTTGTAATTTATTAAATTTTTAACTCTATTTGTGTCTGCTACTACCAGTCTATGATATTCCAAATTTTTTTGTAACATGTGATAATATAAATCATAAATTTAAAAAAAAAATTATTTTTAGTTTTACCTGAATTTAACGATTTTTACAATTATAATCAAATTTTATAATACGCTCAAATGAGTAAATCATTTTAACAACTTTTTTTTTATTGGTTCATTTAGTTAATGTAAATCATTAAAATTAATTCAGTTCTGTATATTTCAATTGGAGAATCTTTTTAACACCAAAAGTAAATAATAAGTGATTTCTATGATATATATTTAAGTGATCTATTACCATAAAAATGCAAAAAAAAAAAAAATAGAGCTTATCTGATAAATTTACTGTAAATAGTAATTATAAAATTTCCTGATTGCATATTAATCTTAACAATACCATTTTTTTTATTTAATGATGACAATTTCAAATTTGCAAATTGCAATGTGATTTTAATCACTGTCAGATATTATTATACTTGATCCAACTATGCTTCGACCCCCCTGTGCTGGGTTTTTATTATTACTATTATATATTATAAACTTGAACATATGTAACTGTATAATACAAAAATACAAAAATAGTATTTACAAATTATTTTAATAATACAAATATGTTTACAAGGAAAAGAAAATAATTCAAATTTTTTGAGTTATATTGATAAGGTGATGTCAGCATTAGCAGCAAGCATCTACCGAATTATAGAAGAATTAATCAATTGTTATGCTGAGCAGTGAGGAATAAAAAAAGGAAAAAAGGAACGCGAAACGACCAAAGGTTACCCCTCTTGACGATTTTACCCAAAAATGCAATGGGTTTATTCCTGAAATAATTAGCAACGTCCATTTTCCATATATATTGTCTATTGTAAAGATAGTAGTAATTTCGAGACAGTTTCTTTGATGTTCTCTTCTAGAGCACTCTAGACATAGTTTTAAATACGTGTTCAGTAATTAAGGAAAAATGTTTCTATTGTTCTCGTTGTTTATAACAATAAACCGGTTTCCTTATTTACTCTACAAAGTCATGGCAATTTTTGTATAGATGAGTTAAATTTAACATAAAAAAGCACAAAACTGTCATTTCTGCTCACTCCTTTTTCGCTTTATGATCTTTCAACTAGTGCAAGAAGTCGCCTAGCATATATTACAAATAAAAAAAAAACGTCATAGTAGAATTAATACCTTCATTTTGAATCCCCCCCTGTGGGCTGGTAAAGGATTAATTTTACAAAAAAAAATATACCAAATGATAGGTATGTTCATTTTTGAAAAAGTTATGGCAGTTTTAAGTAAAAAAAATTGAAAAAATTTCGAAAACTAACGATTTTTAAATTTGTAATTTTTTTGGAGGTTTCCCTCATTTACGGGGAACGAGGGAAATTTTTTCAATTTTAGAGGGTAATGTCTTCGACTAGATACGATTTGTGATCTTTTGACGTATCGTTGAAAGAAATCCGTTCGGTGAGAGCTGAGAAAAAATGGTAACAGACACAAAAAAAAAAAAACGAATCATAATAAAACCAATACCTTCTTAGCTTCGCATCGAAGCTAATAAGTAAATATTAACAAAATCAGTTATGACGTATATTTAAGGCTTTTTCATAGTTTTTACTTTAGTAATTCAAAAAGAAAGAAAATAAAAGTAAATGTGGTGGGGCGTTGTGAGTTACTATCTTGTTGTTTTAATAATATTATTTCTAGGTGTATAAGTACAAGAATTTATAGAAAAGATAAAAATTATTAGAAAAATAAAGTGATCTTTATTTATTAATATTAAATTTACTATAATCAATTGGCACAATTTTTTATATCAATAATGCCTCGAGTATTGATGGTTATCAATAATAGGAGGGATTCAGTCACCTTATGTGTCTACCCAGAATAGTATGGGGGCAATATATGAACCTCCTACTTAACTCCTGAAATAGACACATATTAATGATCTAACTCTGTCAATTAAGTCCATACAAACATTATTGATTTATTAAATTTACTTAGTATATTTTTTTATTGTTGATAATCACTTGATTTTTCTTTGTCCCTACTTGAACTATGAACTCATAAAATTTAATTTTAAGCCTTATACATTTTTGGTGAAATTTGTTATTTTCCTACCTTGATATTTCCAATAAATACTCTGAAATAAATAAACGTTCCTTTTTTTTTATGAAATTGCAATATGGACGCGACGGATCACTCTTTGCGCGTACCTCTTAGAATAACGGACCGAATCTGGGCGCGACTGACCGAGTGAGAACATTATGATCATCGTCGGATCGCTCTTAAATTTTGCACAGCTCATTTTTATGAGCATTAAAAAAATTAAGGGGTAGCGTAAAAAAAGACGATTTTTGAGGGCCACACTATTAGGCATAAGCCTTTACAGTTGAGATTGGTCAGTGTGACCAATGGCCTTAGACGTCAAAATAGTAACTCAATCATCCTCATGTACAACGCTTGATCACTTATAAAATTTATATTTATTTCGAGTTTCTATGATTTATAGAATAAATAGAAGATGCACTGAATTGGAACAAAATGCAGATGCAGATAAAGAGAAAACAAATACTTTAATAGAAAGCCATCGTGATATAATTGCTTATTTGTCACGTCAAGTTGAAATGAAAAATAATGAAATCGTCGATATGGACAATACTATAACTACTATGAAATCGGTTGTATTAATAATATTCCTAATAATTATAATGATCTTATCTTTAATTTATACCGGTAGACCATTGAACATCAAAAACTGACTTACGAAAATGTTATTGCAAAGAAAGATAGTAGATTTGAAACTGTTTTTGGTCAATTAACGGCTGAAATTGGTTTATTAAGTATGAAATTAGTTTACTATGTAAAATATACTTATATATATATGTAGAGTGTCTCAGTTATAACTGACACGAATATTGTCAGTTAATTTTTAATTAAATTTTCATATCACTGTAATTTTTTAAAAATAATTTCTTTATTCTTTGACTATGTTGAAAGTATATTTTTTATTATTTGGCTCTAATAAAAAAAAAAAAATAAAATTGTTTTATTTATACGTTTTTTAAAATTTTCAAAATATCAATTTCATTAATTATTTTCTCATAAAAAATTTTGATGTGTCAATAAAAAATTAAAAAAAATATTTATTGAGTTATAAGCATTTTAATAGAATGAATATAAAGTGCGGGTAGTTATAGTTCGTATTGATGTATATAAAAAGTAAGTTAACAAATGAGGAAAGATGACGAAATCAGTATTTCTCAAAATCAATCACCCACAGTAACAAATTCTTCTTAACATAGAAGACTGTGTATACATTATTACTCATTAATATTAATTTACGCGTGTGTGTACGTTTATTTTAGTAAGTGATAAGAAATTCATATTTAATGTAATTTTCGATACATCAAAACTTTAAATATTAACATTCTCTAGAAAATTTTTCAAGCTTATCTCTATTGAAAATTTTGAAAGTACTACTTAAAATCTATAGATATATCATATACAGAGTGGAACAGATCTAACTTACAACTCATATAATTTATAATCTACATTTTATACTTTTTTATTAAATACGTTTTTACAATATAGGAATATGTTTAAAATATTTTATGTTAGTTTTAGCAATTATAAAAAATATTTTAAAAATTAATTTTTTTGTTAAATTTTTTTTTAAGAATTAGAGATAGCCATTTTATAGATAAATTAAAAAAAAAATTTTGATACCACAAATTCTTATTTTAATTCAGTAGTTAACTTTATACAGCATTTTGAAGTTCGTTAAATTTTGATTTCTTTTTTATGATTCTTCTAATAAACGGTAATAGAATGATAACATTAATTATGTATTATTAAATACATTTGCGTGAAAAATAATTTTTATGTAAGATTTTAAACCTGCAAAAACAAAAAAAAATTAAAATTTTATTTCAAGATATTTAAAAATATTATTAAAACGAAATTTAAATTTTTATTATTTTAGGGTGAGAAAAATTAATTTTTCCTTAGGAATCCATATATATGTTTTCAGTAAATCTGACATTTAATCTTAAGACTACCATAAAGTACCTTAATACCTTAAACACAGACACTGCTATTTAAATAAAACGTAAGCGTTCTTGAAAGTATACGAAAGTTACAGACTACGACGAAAATAATTACATTAAAAATAAAAATTTAGTAAAAAAAATTTGTTATTTGTTTATTAACTTTAAAAGTAATATTGAGTATGTCCCTGAATCAAATTATTACTAAATTATTACCGATAGAGAAAAATTAAAATTGAAATCATATACAATTTCCAATAATTTTATTTTATTTTTATGTTAGAAAGTAAAGTTAACTCATTAAATGAATTCAAAAAACAACGATCCGAACTAATAGAGAAGTTTTTGAAACAAGAAGAAGAATTATCGAAAATAAAAACGGAGAAAGATAACTTGACCTATGAAACGGATAAAAAAATTATAATTGTCAAAGAACAGTAAGATTCATATATATCAGCTAGATACAAAGCGGGACCTAATGCAGAAACTTGTTTTTGGGCCATTGTTTGTTTTTAATAATAAAATATGATCTTTATCTTTTTGTCTATTTTTACAAGTATATCGTGAGTAAATTAATTGATTGAATTGCTCTTAAAAATGTTTTATTTTACGGCACATCTTAAATTAATTTTAACGATTAGTTAAATTATTGTACAAAATTTCAAACCGATATGGTACGGACTTATCTTAATTACTAAAAAAAAAAATTGTTATACAAAACTAAATAGTAAAATTTTACAGATAATATGACTCTGAAAATACAAAAAAAAAAATTATATTTAAGAAAATAATAAATTTTTTAACTGTATAAAATAAATTATTATATTTAATTATTGTTTACACTAATTTGTAATAAAAGTAAATTTTTTAGGAATTGAAAATGATATACTAATCTAAGCTAATTTTTTGTGTTAATTTACATCCATCCTTAAATTTTTTCTAGCTTTTTAAGTAGTTAAGATAAGTCTTTAATTTGATCGTGGGAGTATGTTATTTAAGGATATTTATTTTTTTTAAAAGAAAAAATATTGTTTTTCCGAAACTTAGTTATTTGCACATATTTGTTTATTATACAACATTTACTACAGTTTTTATTTCTTTAATTTACACGAAAGTAAATTTTTTGAAATAACATTTCATATTTATTGATATGATTCAATAATTAGATTATTCTTTTGAAAATAGTAATTTTTCTCAACTTCAAATACCGAGGTACGGGATAATTTTATCAAATTGATCACAAATTTATATTAGGGGTCAAATTGATTAGAATTTGTTAACCGCATTGTTATAAATAGATGTGTATTTAGAAATGTAAAATGCATGGGATATAAACCTTTTTTTTAATGGACAAGCTACCATGAAAAAATTGGTCACATTAATATTCTTTTTTTTATAGTTGTAATCATAGAAAAATAAAAAACATTTTTATTCCAGCATAGCATGAGTCAAAAAAAAAAAAGAGAAAATTCCACAGCTTAGATTTTAGACTAAAAACAAAAAATTAATTAACTGAAATAATTTATATAATTATATGAATAGAATGAAACGACAAAATGAAGAGAAACTATCTCAGCTATCAACCACAATGCAAAGCAACTTACAAAAACTAATGATGACAACATTTGAGAGGACTTTAAAAGAAAATTCTGTTGTGAAAAAAGAAGTAGGCTATTTAGAACTAAGAGCTCTAACAGAATAAAAAAAACTCATTTCTAATATGTACCCTTTAAAATATTTAGAATGTGAAACGGAATAAGAATTTTTATTATCTCAAAATAAATCAAACCTTCAAAAAAAATATTTTTTGACGATTATTGGATTTTTATTTGTAAAATAACTTGTATCGTACCATCAGAATGTTTATCTCAAATTAACTTAAAAATTATAACATATTAACTAATATAATATAATATAATATAATAATAATATTAATAATAATATAAAACAACAATATAAATATAAACCAGAGAGGTTTAGGGATTGTCTTAATAATCTTTTTTTTATTCAAGTTTTCTTAAATAGCATTAAAGAATAAAAAAATTTTGGTGAACATTATAAAAATGTAATAAGCTCCCCTGCATCATAAATTATTTTCTGGTTGTTCTATTGCATAATATTAATATAAACTCATTAAAAAAGTGGCTTTTATATATCCTCCAAAAATAAATTTTTTTTTTATCAATTAGAACGAAAAAACAGATTCCTAACCAAGACCTTACAATCATTATTTATAAAACCCAAAATATAATATAATTATGATTTAAGTCCTTAATTAGAACCTTGGATGTAACTAGAGTGCAATTTTTGATGATTGTAATTGTATTTTTTCCTCAACTTTATAAACAGTATACATAATTTTTTCAATTTTTTGTGGCCTAATAAGTCTCTAATCCTCCTAGTTGCACTAGTTTAGAAAACAATACAATTATAACTAATTAAATTAAAGTGATAATTTTTTTTAGCTAAATGAATGTGTCAAAAAATGGTTACTTGTAAACAAAAAATATGAACAGCTCAAATCAGAAAATTTTGACATGAAAGTTGAAAATAAAATGTTTATTAGAGAAAATAGTCGTCTAAATAGGATCATAACAGCTCAAAAAGTGGTAATTTATACACATTATAAATAAATTAAAAAAACTTTAAGGTTAATTTGATACTAGTCACATTTAAATGAAAGCTTAGTCTTGTGCACGCATGGGCAAGATACTTTACGTGGTTTATTATTGTCTTCTGTAATTGAGATATCGAAATTGAAAAAAAGTCGCATATGATATATTTGTCGAGTATAGTAAAATTTTTACAAAAGTGACATAATTTCTATTCTTAAACTGATATTCGAATATTTCTTATCTTTTATCGAATTTTATAAAAATTTGATTGATTTAACAATGAAAAACCCAGCACATAGGGGACGTGGCATTGTTGGGTACAGTATATATTACACCTGTCAGTGATTAAAATCACTATCATAAAAAATGCTTCGATGCAGTTATGTGATAGTGTTTAATTTAAAAAAAGTTGTGGATTATACCAAAAGCAACATGATCTCCTATTTCCTTATTTATATATTGATTACAAGTTTTATAATTTATAAGTGTAATATATGTATAAATATTTATTATAACAATTAAATATAGTATGAAATTAATATTTCATACTATATATTAGGTATTAATATTAGGTTACGTATGAATAATCAATAAATATATTTTAATTAAAAATAAGTTGAAAAAGTTCTACTTTTTAAACGCATTTGTAAGTTTTAAACTAACCTTGTATAAAGGGAAATGGTCCGATTAAAAAAAAATATGCCGAATGAAAGAAGTATATATATATATAGTATTTAGCATTAAAAAAAGTTATAGCATTATAAGGTTCAAAATATAAAAAGTAATTTTTATAGAAAAATTGTATTTTTTTTATAACTTTGATGTCCGTTTTCACCATGAAAACAAGATTTTTTTTAAAATTCATAATAAAGTATATTACATTAGCTTTAATTTAAGATATATATGTAAGTGTCAGTATTTCCAAAACACTTTCAAAAGTTAAGTTGAAAAAGATAATTTTTTGTGAAAAAGTTGTCATTTTAAATCCCTCTCTGTGGGCAGGTAAAGGGTCAGAATTATAAAAAAAATATACTAAATGATAGGTTAAGACATCAAGCATCTATAAAAAAAAAAATTGATTAGGTCATTTTTTAAAAAGTTATGGCAGTTTTAAATAAAAAAAAAAATTAAAAAATATCGAAAATTAGCGATTTTTAAATTTGTAATAATTTTGGAGACTTCCCTCACTTACGGGGAACAAGAGAATTTTTTTTAATTTTTGAGAGTAATGATTTATTGACGTATTGTTGAAATAAATCGGTCCAGTGAAAGCTGAGAAAAAGTGGTAACAGACACAAAAAAAACACATAGTAAAACCAATACCTTCTCAGCTTCGTATTTAAGTTAAGAAATAATATTTTTAAGATAAATATGCAATTGGGAGGTTGTATAATTACTATTTACTATAATTTTATCAGAAAAGCTTAATATTTTTTTTCATTTTTATTGTAATAGATCACTTAAATAGAAATCATAGTGATCATTTCTAAGAAACTTTGGGCGTTTAAAAAGAATCTACAATTGAATCATATTCAGAACTTAATTAGTTTTAATGATTTACTTAAAAATTTTTTTCTCAATTAAGCATATTATAAAATTTGATTATAATTATTAAAATTCTTTGTTAAATTCTTAAATGTAGAAATCAAAAATTATATTTTTAGAAATGATTTATACAGTAACATATTACAAAAAATTTGGAATATTATAGTGGTAGTAGATAAAAAATGAATAAATAACAAAGTATTATATCTTCAATTAGATACGAATTGTAATCATTGAAAAATTAATGATAGATACTAAAATTATTGTAATACGAATAAAAAATTTCTTCTCATGAAGGGAGGCTATAGTGATGGGGTTCTTGACATTCATTGAATGTAGACTCAGAAGTCATCTTTTATTAAAATGAGTGTACGCCCTGAAGGTATTTTAGAATAAAATTTTTGATTTAAATAATCGAAGCTAATAAATTAGGACCACACTATTCCCAAAAAAGGATCAAGTTTAATTCTGCAAATTAATCTATTTTATTAAATACTTTTTATTATTTAATTAAGTGGAATATTCTACTCGGTGACATAATTCAATTTTGAATTTATCATTGTTTTTAAAATATTTTTTTTCCATCTGCTAAAAAGATATTTTAAATTTAAAATTAAAACTATATTAAAAATATTTAACTCAAAAAGCCATAAAAAAATTACTGTAAAATCGCCGATATGTATTTCGCGAACAATATTACCATTATCAACGCTAAACACATATTAGTTAAATATTTTTAATATTTGTTACTTATAAATTAATAATATTTTTAATATAGTTTTAGTTTTAAACAATATTACCTACAAGAGATCAATTTTTATTATACAAATTTTTAAATTTGTTGCTCAAATGGTGTATAAAAACTAAAATTATTACTATTAATAATACATTAATAATGTATTAAAAGACAAATGGTGTTAAATCAAAGTTAACTTTTTTGGTTGAATAGTTCTTAGGTATTTTTTTTTTTTTGCAGGCTATCGACACACTAAACTCACAAGGAGTTTACTTGAATTGGAAATTCAAAAATACCTGTACATTGAATAATCAAAATCAAAATTTTGTTATTAAGTCTAAATGCATTCGATACATTGCAGCTATAAGTAGCATGCAAAAAAAATTAAAAAATAAGAATCGACGAATAAAGGGATTAATGAAGAATTTGAAAGCAATGAAGAGGGAAGTTGTAACATTAAGTTCGCATATTTATAAAATGGACTCTTTGTTTGTTACTATCACTAATTCCATGGAACGCAAATTGGAACTTGATCGAGTAAATATATTAAAATATGTTTAAAAAAATACACAACAATATTTATACATGTACACTTTTAGTTACGCGATAATAGCGATTTTATAAACCAACAAAGTCAAAAAGACTCATCTTATTACAATTTTCTAAAAAATGTATACAAATTATTTGTTGAGACTAAATTAAGAAGAGTCGAAATACAAGAGTTTAATTCGTAAGTATAACTAACGAGTATAGATAGTACTATTATCAAATTATTAATATTATATTCAATTGCATAACAAAATAATAGACTAATTTTATTTGAGAGTAATTTTCTAAATAACGTTTGTTATTTCAGAGCTGAAGCTGTCAAAGTATCATTACTCGACTTAAATAAAAGTAAAAAATCTCCTACTTATTCAATTTTAAAACCTTTAAAAAAAACTCAATATCTCAAAAAATAAAAAGGATATCATTTTTACACGACAATTTTGCCTGTTCAATATATTTTTTTATATTCTATAACCTCGAAAAGTTTTGATAAGCTAAAGTTAAAATACTTATTTAATAATTTACGTGTTAGTAAAAAATAATATTTATTTTTACTTTACAAAATATATTATTGTTAATCTTTTAGTTCAATTAAACATTATAAATTTATACAACCCCTAATCTAATCATTGTAACAATATCACTTCAATCATAATTTATTGTAATAATTATTAAAATTTATTTTATAAAATTCAATACACGGATAATTATTAGTATTTTAAAGACAGATTTTTAAGATATAGAATTATGAATTTGTATCAATATAATAGCTTTGATAGACAATCAACTTTTAATAGATTTTTTTTATTAACATAATATTTTAAATAATAAAATCGTAATTTAATGCACAAATATTAATACCATTAATGAATTGGCACAATAAAACGATTTAATTAGTCGAAGGTCTTCATAGTGTTATTAATATATATTTATAAATAATAATTTTTAAGTAAAAATCGCTGTTTTGATAATCCACCAATACTACAAAAATGAGTTATAATAAAAACTGGACATTACGTCCTTTTGTAATAAACACGTTTTCAGCCTGCTATAGATAACAACTAACAATGAAAACTGAATTATAGAAGCATATGATATAGTTACTCGAACGTCGTTTTTATAATACGAATAAATTGTAAATCATTTTTGTTAGTCATCTTTCTTCAAGTTTAAAAATAAAGTAATGTCAATAATACTGTAGCAATTACAATTAAAAGGACCACATATATTACAAACTTGTTAAGGTATGAAATTAGTATGAATAATTCATAAAATTATTATTTTATTTTGTATATAATACTCAAAGAGAAATTAAAAAAAAAATTCAGAAAGTTAAAATTTGATCAATTATTATATAGAACTCGGATATTTATATAATTTAATTTCAAAAACATTATTAAAATATTTGTTAAATTAAATTTTATGCTATATAAGAAGAAAAAATAGTTGGAACATGTATAGATGATATCTGACAGTGATAAAATCAGTATCATAAAAAATGCTTTGATGCAAATCTGTAGATGGTGTTAAATTTAAGAAGTTGGTGAATTATACAAAGCAAAATGAATTTCTGTTTCTTTTGTTATTTCTGATTAGTAGTGTTATGATTTAGAGGTATAATATATAAATAAATATTTATTATTGCAATTAAACCTAGTATGAGATTGATGTTTAATATATAGGTATTGTAATTTTTACGGAGAAATTATAAAAAATTATAAAGTGTTTGTAAGTTTTATAACAAACGTGTATAAATAAAAAAGGGTTTGATACAAAAATTTTCAGAAGATAATTTTTGGTTAATTATGAATAAATGATCTACAAATAATTTTCATCAAAAATATACTTTTATTCAATTTTTCGTGCTCAAATCAGCAATTAGATTTTTTCTACCACCGCTAATTTTTGATATTCTCATAAAAACATTTTATTGATCCATACATTTTTCAAAAAGTTATAGCATAATAAAGTTAAAAATGTAAAATACAAAATTGAAAATTTGCACACAAAAATAGCATATGGTAGTCATTTTCACCACGAAGACAAGTCCAGAGGTCAACATTTTTTTTTTCAAATTATAGTACACTACATTAGCTTTAATTTAAGATATATATAAAAGTGTCAGACCTTCCGGAACATTTTCAAAAGTTAAGTTGAAAAAGTTAATTTTTTGTGAAAAAGTTGTCATATTAAATCCCCCCCTGTGGGCAGGTTAAGTGTCAAATTTACAAAAAAAAATATACCAAATAATAAGTAATGACATCAAGCATCTATATAAAAAAAAAATTTTATTGATATGTTCAGTTTTGAAAAAGTTATGGCAGTTTTTTGTAAAAAAAATTGAAAAAATTGAAAAAATTAGCGATTTTTAAATTTGTAATATTTATGGAGGTTTCCCCCATTTACGGGGAACGAGGGAATTTTTTTTAATTTTTAAGGGTAATGTCTTCGACTAGATACGATTTGTGATCTTTTGACATTTCGTTGAAAGAAATCGGTTCGGTGAGAGCTGAGAAAAAGTGGTAACAGACACAAAATAAAAAAAAACACATCATAGTAAAACCAATACCTTTTCAGCTTCGCATCGAAGCTAAAATGTTTTAAAGTTGGCAACTTAAAAAACATAAGCATAATTTTGAGATATTTGTCTAAATTGTTAGAATTAAATTTTTTTTTTCAATATTTGGTGATTATAAGTTCAACATGATTAAAATTGTGTTCTTATAACATATTCGTCATTAAAGTTGATCATTGAAAGTTGAAAAAAATGAATGACAGACACAAAAACCTTATAGTGAAATATTTTAATATGAATAAGTAATTCCTTCTCACAAAGGGAGACTAAATTGATAGGGTTTTTGATATTCTTTGAATATTATTTATTATTATTAATTTTTTATTTATTTTTCCACTTCAAAAAAAAATTATTTTTGCTAGCGGTGTTCGAACTTTGTAGCCCGAATTTATAAGACTGTAGAATTAACAACGCAACTAATGTGATCTACATGAATATGCAGATAAAAAGAATTATTTAAGCTCGTTCAAAAATTCAAAGTCTCTGTTCTTGACTTTGAGGAAGTAAAATAATCTAATAAAGTAAGCTTTAATTTAATATATGTTTAAGTTGAAGAAGTTAGTTTTTGAAAAAAGGTGTTATTTTAAATCCCCCCTGTAAGCAGGTTAAGTGTTAGATTTTCAAAAAAATGACATCAAATGAAAGGGAAATATCTAAGATTTTAATATAAAAAAAAATTATGTTGATTCATTAAATTTTGATAAAGTAGTGGAAGTTTTAAGAAAAAAAAGTGAAAAGAATGACGAAATTTACCGATTTGAAAAATTGTAATTTTTTTGGAAATTTCCCCTATTTACGGGGAACGAGGGATTTTTTTTCAATTTTTAAGGGTAATGTTTTTGACTAGATACAAATTGTGATCTTTTGACGTATCATTGAAAGAAATCGATCCAGTGAGAACTGAGAAAAAGTGGTAACAGACACAAAAAAAAGCATCATAATAAAATTAATATCTTCTCAGCTTCGCATTGAAAACACATCATAGTAAAATGATTACCTCACTAATAGATACCATCTATATTTATACAAACTATGTCACGTCCCCACTGTACCGTAACACCACTGTAATATTGTTTCTTAATGATGCAAATAACAATGATGAAATAATTTTTTTTCTACGTAAAAAAAAGTTTAAAATTAACAAATAAATTTCTCTTAAAATTATTTTTTAGTTCGACATAGGGTCACCATCAATATATAATTGATTTTGAGTTATCTTAACTAAAATGAAAAATCCAGTTTAAAATAATTAAAAATGTTAATCAATAAGTAACTTAAACAAGCTTTAAGATTGTGTTTTAATATATTGTAAGTAATTTAGTAAGTTATGATGAAAGAATTACTCTATATTAGAAAATCTTATATTATGCATCAAATTAAATGATATTTTTAAATAGTTATAATCATTAAAACTAATGCAAAATGAATTTTATATATAAAACTTATTATTTCAGTCTATAATATTATTCCTAATTTTATATCACAAAAGTAACATTTTTCATATTGTGAGTCAATATTGACTCAATTTACTTGTAGAAATGTTAAGTTTAATAAATCAAATTTGACTATTTACACAACTTTCAAAATTTAAATCTTCCTATTTCTTTTTCAGTTTAATGGTTTTATGGTTTATCAAGGGTTTATGATAATGTTTTATCAATACGAACAAAATAACTAATCTTATGAATAATTATTGTTCAAGACAAGAAAAAAATTATCATATTGATAAATATATCATAGGTTCAATAGTAATGATATATTTATCAAATTGAACAATGAATTTATTATATAGATCGAGGTTTTTCTCTGGGTGTAGAATATAACCAGAGAAATGGACATTAAGCACTTAAAATCATCTAATAAACTTCATTATAAGGACTCAAATAGGACTTAAAAACTTTGAAAAAGACAAAAAAAAAATCTTAAAAATTTCCCCTTATAATTATAAATACTAGATATTTGTACCTATTTTCCAAAACTACAATAAAATTATAAAAAAAAATTATGTTAATTGAAATCAGATTACATCTTTTATAAAAAAAAAGGACCTAAACTTATGTTTCTCGATTTTTTTGAGTTAATGGGTTTTTTGAAAAATGAATAAAAAATAGTTTAAATAATAACTGAAAACCAATTAATTTATTTAATCAAAAAATTATATTTAATTAAAAATTTTTCTTATCTTCATTATTGCAATTAATAATTCAGTGTTTTCTGATGTTTTCAAATGTAAAAGATCTCCTATTATTTAACAGTATCGTTTTATAAGCTGAGATAGTGCGTTCAACAATAACCAATGTAGTATGGGCATATTTTAAACTACATTTTCACTGGAATTGTCATCGTAAAATCGTTCACTGCCATCTTTACTAAGGAGTATTTTTGATATTTTTTCAATAATTTTCAAGCCATCATTTTTTTCAAAAACTTTATTTAGTTTAGTAATAATTGGTTTCCCGTGATTATCTTTTAATGTAGAAAATTTCTGTTGTAAATTTTGAACCACTGCTAGTGAATCACATAGTAAAACATCTTTTTTTTGTAGTTCTATAATGGTTTTAGTAAGAATTTCAAACTTATATTTTATATAAGCTAAATTGGCTTCTAAACCTGATTTCACTATACATATGTTAACTTTTTTGATACTGTCTTCGTTTTTGTCATTTAGACAGCTTACAACGTGAAGAATTTCTTTAAAATTTTCGCAATAATAAATTAAAGCCTCTATCCAAGACCCCCAACGAGTAATAATTGGTTCAGTGGATAAATTCATACCTGGAGCCTTCAATTTAAATAATTCAATACGAGATGGAGCTTTACGAATTTATTTTTCATATTTGATATTAATATTCATCAAATGTATCAAATTGTTCGCGAATTTCTCCGGCAAACCTGTGTAGTTCGTAGGCACAACAAGTAACGTAAATTATTTTTGTATAAAATCTTTAAGAACACTACCTGATTTTACCATACAGGGAGCAGCATCTGATAAAAATAATAAGACGTGATTGTACTTTATATCACCAGGCTATATAATAAGCCCCATTGCTTTTTCAAATAGTTTACAAATAGTTGAATGATTGGCCTTTTCTGATTCTTCTGAGTGTAATAAAAATATACGGCCTGGACAATCTGGTCTAAAAATTCCAACAATAACATTGGCTATAAATTGTCCTTCAACATCACATGTGTCATCAATTGACACCCCCCAAATTTTGTTTTGTTCGATTTCCATTTTCATTTTATCCATAGTAGTATTAAAAATGTCGTCAATATAACCTTTTCGTAATGTCGATTCCGTTGAAATACTATTACCGGTATACTTCACTAAAAATTTTCTAAATATATAATTGAAAGTTTATTTAACGGAATATTGGCAGAAACCACAGCTTGGCATAAATCCATATTGAAATTTGATTTCGTTGAATTTTGATTGATTAAAAGTGATTGAGCTTTATTCTGCGTATATTTTTCGTAACGCTCAACATTTTTAATGTGTTTATCAGTTCTTAAGTGTTGAGATATATTATACTTCTTTCCACACTTAAACTTATTTTACACATTTTACAATATAAAACATGCTCGTCTGTGGACAAAATATCAGACCCGAATTCTAAAACGTATTTTTAGCTTCGATGCGAAGCTGAGAAGGTATTAATTTTACTATGATGTGTTTTTTTTTTGTGTGTGTCTGTTACCATTTTTTCTCAGCTCTCACCGAACGGATTTCTTTCAACGATACGTCAAAATATCACAAATCGTATCTAGTCGAAGACATTACCCTCTAAAATTGAAAAAAATTCCCTCGTTCTCCGTAAATGGGGGAAACCTCCAAAAAAATTACAAATTTAAAAATCGTTAGTTTTCGAAATTTTTTCAATTTTTTTTACTTAAAACTGCCATAACTTTTTCAAAAATGAACATACCTATCATTTGGTATATTTTTTTTTGTAAAATTAATCCTTTACCAGCCCACAGGGGGGGATTCAAAATGACAACTTTTTCACAAAAAATTAACTTTTTAACATAACTTTTGAAAGTGTTCCGGAAATTTGGCACTTTTATATATATCTTAAATTAAAGCTAATGTAATGTACTTTATTATGCAAAAAAAAAAATTTCGGACTTTATTTTGTCTTTACGGTGAAAATGACTACCGAATGCTATTTTTGTGTGAAAATTCTCGATTTCATATTTTACATTTTTAACTTTATAATGTTATAACTTTTTGAAAAATGTATGGATCAATACAATTTTTTTATAAGAAATAATATTTATATACTTCTTTCATTCGACATACTTTTTTTTTTAGTCGGACTATTTCCCTTAATACAGGGGGGTTAAAATCTTTAAAATGCATATAGAAAGTAGAATATTTTCAACTTAATTTTTGAAAGTTTTCCGGAATTACTGACACTTTTATATATATCTTAAATTAAAGCTTATGTAGTATACTTAAATATTAAAAAAAAAATTCGGACTTTATTTTGTTTTCATTTTTTATTAACTTTGATCATCAAAGTTAATAAAAATTTCTCGACTTCAAAGAAACAAAAAAAAATCAGTTTAATCCCTTTATAATAAAATAAAATACAAAACCAAGAATTTTAACACAAAAATAACATATATTTGAATACGGTAGCTATTTTCACCATGAAAACAAAATAAAGTCCGAAATTTTTTTTTTAATATTAAGGTATATTACATAAGTTTTAATTTATAAAGATATATATAAAAGTGTCAGTATTTACGGAATACTTTCAAAAGTTAAGTTGAAAAAGTTAATTTTTTATGAAAAAGTTGTCGTTTTGAATCTTCCCTGTGGGCAGGTAAAGGGTTAAATTTATAAAAAAATATACCAAATTAAAGGTAATGATATCATGCATCTATAAAAAAAAATGATTATATTGATTTATTCATTTTTGAAAAACTTATGGCAGTTTTAAGTAAAAAAAATTGAAAAATTACGAAAATTAGCGATTTTTAAATTTGTAATTTTTTTGGAGTTTCCCACATTTACGGGGAACGAGGGAAATTTTTTCAATTATTGAGGGTAATGTCTTCGATTAGATACGAATTGTGATCTTTTGACGTATCGTTGAAAGACATCCGTTCGGTGAGAGCTGAGATTGAGCGTTCACAGATACAAAAAAAATTTAAAAAGAACAACACATCATAGTAAAATAATACCTTCTCAGCTTCGCATCGAAGCTAAAAAAATACGTATGTGATGAAAATATTTTTATTTTGTTCTTTCGCAAATGTCCAATAATAATATAATAAAAAAAATCAGAATTTATTGTGTCATTGTTATAAATTGTATTTAAATGTATAAAATAAGCAATATATGCAAAAAACACTATAAAAACATAATTTTTAAAAAAAGCATCAAAATAAGCAAAAAGAAGCACATTTAAATTTGATATACGATTTCGTTGTCACATGCCATAAATTTGTATAGAACTCTGCTACTTATTATGTTAATGCAAAAATATGAGCGAATGCTTTAAATTCCGATTCCTGAATATAATTATACGGAATATAATTTTTAATATTTCAATTGTAGCATCTATTTAAACACCAAGAATTATTAGACTAAGACTAATGATTACTAAGACTTATATTTAAATGATTTATTACAATAAAAATACAAAAAAAAAATAGTGATTTTAACGAAATTTGAGTTTTCTTTTTAAATTTACTGTTAATAGTAATTTTATAAGTTTCTGATCACATATCAATCTAAAAAATACATTTTTTATATCTCATAAATTTTTCTATTTAATTATATAAATTCTTAACTTGCAAGTTGAGCTACAATGTGATTAAAAGTTTAACATTTTTAAATTATAAAATTCATAAAAATTAACATTAAAAGATCAAATAATAAGTTAAAAATGTCAATTTTGAATTGAAATTTTGGACGGATTATTTAAAAATTTTTTTCTTAAAAAAATTACAGTGATGGGATTCTTGACATTTATTGTAGTTATTCAATTTAAATGAGATAAAAATCAAACAAACATTAAATTTTTTTTGTACTTTAAAAAAAAAATTAAGATGAAATGCAAACAATATTAGATTGTCGGAGGGGATTCGAACTTCGTACCCTATGCGTATAAAACTCTATTATATTATACACAGCCACTGTAAATTACACTGTTTTAGCTGAAAATGACAATTTATGATAGTTCAAAAATTCAAAGTCGCTTTATTAACTTTGAGGAGGCGAAATAATCAAAATAAGTATAAATTTATAATTAATATAAGTCAGATTCATGTAAATTTTATAAAACTTGATGGACTCATTACTATAGCAAATTAGGATAAAGTATTTTAAAATAAACAAAACAAAAATAAAATTTGAACACAAAAATAGCAGGTATTTTAAATACGGCATCCATTTGTATAAAGAAAATAGGTCGTGGGTGCAATTTTTTTTTTATAATTTATAGTACGTAACATAAATTTTAATTTGAAATATGTTCAAAGAATGCAGTACTTTCGGAACATTTTCAAAACTTAAATTGAAAAGTTGCTATTTTGAATCCCCTCCTGTGGGCAAGTAAAGGTTACGGGTATCGAGGAAAATTTTTTTAATTTTTGAGGATAATGTTATGTATGTTCATCATATATTTCATCTAGTTTAATATTCTATATTATAATTTGCATGGAAATGCGTGTGTATAGATTCATTTATCCTAGAAGCTTTATCTAAGTCATGGAATCTCTAGAATAAAAATGTTTAATTTGTATAACATTATATCATTTTTACAACTTATTTAATTCTCAAATTTACCTTAGTAGTAAAAATTGATTTGTAACAACGGAGTTAAAAATAATGAGACATTTTTTCCTGTTTTGATACATTTTATAGATAAACTATAAAACAAATTAACTGATGTTACAAAATAAGTCATTAGTTTCGTTTTCTGTAAAATTATAACTTAAATTTATTTAAAATACAAATACGTAGTGGCGCAATTTTCTTTGACTGTAATGAATATAAAGAACAATTAATCGACTAAATTACTAGGAGATCAATATTTTCATTGAAACTTTTAATAAATAAAAATTATAATTTTAGATAATAAAATCTGTTTCTTGATCAAAATATAACAACATTATTTCTAGTCTTTATGCCAACGATCAAAAGTAAGAATAATTTTAAAATCAAAATTATTAAAAATAATTAATTGTTTGAACTTTAGGTCAAGTTAATCATTTCAAATATCAAAATGACAGATTATGAACAATCACAGACAATTGAAATATATTCATATCAAAATGAAGAAAAACTCAAAACTATATATGGTTTTCTGGATGTTTTGGAATCTTTTCGTCAGTAAGTATAATTTTATTATAATTAATTGTATTTAAGTATAAATTATAAACTCTTTATAAATAAATAAGTTTAGAAGTAAGTTGTTTTAGCATTTTATTGTAGACTGGATGTCAAGTGCTGGTATGACTTTTTATCATAAGACATTTTTCGACCGTATTTCTAGTTCCGTTAAGGTATAAAAATATTAACATCTTTTAAAGTATCGATCCAACAATTGTTATCGACTAGCCATTTCCTTAATTAGATCATTTTCTATCTTATAAGCTAGTTAAATATGCATGTGCTGTTTGAAAAAATTAAGTTATAAGTGATGAACATGAAAAATATTTCATGATGAATTGAGAAAACAGATAAAAGATTTAAGAAACTTCGTTTCCAAATCAATAATACCATTTTTTGCTTTAATATTATATTTTAGATCTAGAACACTATGTGATGTTACTCTCGTGACCAACGACGATCTAAAAATTCCTGCACACAAAGTGATTTTAGCAGCAGCAAGTCCAGTATTTTTATCTATGTTCAATAATGACTTCAAAGAAAGCAAAGAGGATTATATTCCAATAAGAGGAATTGATTCAGATGTGTTAAAAATTATAATGTCTTATTTGTACACTTATCACTTAGAAGTAAATCAAAGTAATGTTGAGGTAAATTTCAAACTTAATATGTGTGTACTTTTATAATGCAATCATTTGCTGTAACTAATAATGTATTTTTTTAGAGAATTTTAAAAGCAGTTGATTACTTAGATTTAAATCATGCCAAAAACGTGTGCTATCGATATATCGAAGAAAATATAAGTCCAACCAATTGTATAAATTTTATGAAAACGACCGAAATGATTTCCAATACTAAGCTTTATGATTATTGTTTTTTGTACACTATAAAAAATATTAGGTGAGTAATTAACAGTGATGAGCAATACTAAATGGACACTATTTTAGGTATATTTAAATATTTATAATGGGAGTGGGCAATAAAAAATTTAAGGTATATTAGGATAAGGATAAGGTACATATCAAAAAATTTAGGACTTTTTTGGGCAAACTGTTTTGTTATTAGTGGTACATAAAAATGTAAAAAAAAGCACAAAAAATACTATATATATAACCATTTTTAAGCTTCTTTTTCAAGTAAACATATTAGACTGACTAATGTATATATTTTTTTACATTTTTTTTGCATATCATAAAAGCTGACTTTTTTGCTACAAATACACACCTAAAACATTTATTTAATAATTATTATCTATTTTTTCGGCTTTTTCATATTTTTACTGTCAGTAAAATGCTTCAATGTTTGAAAAATTTAAATAAATGAGATATTAAATGTTTTAGGTATCTATTTTATTGCAAAATATTAATCTGTAAGATTGTACACAAATAAATAAATAAATATATCTTTTTTTGAAAAATCACACTTTCTTATATTGTTTAAATGAGGAGAAAAGTGCATTTAAATGACGTTTTAAGGTTAATCAGAAAAGCTCAAATTGGAAAGGGTACGTTCTTTTGGTGTGTATTACTGATTTATAGAAAAGCAAAAAAAAATTTTTTTTGGTCAGACTATACCACACAGGTAATTGACTAACTATGTCTAACGATTTTTCTTTAAAAATATTAGTGTTGTTATATATATAATATATGTAATTATTTTATTTGTTATAAATCTTTGTTGAGCTACTTGTCAAGAAAAATAAAGATTCTATCTTAAAAATAAATAAATTTTAAACGAGATATCACTATTTTAAGTTTAGGGGATTTAACAAATAAAACAGTAGTCAGACAAATACAGTAACATTAGTATTTAGTGTACCGATAAGAACTATTGGTATGTTGTACCGCAATGTGAAAAACTTGTACGATTGCTGTTTTCATTAACTATGATTTCGCGCTTAACATCATGTGTTATGAAATAGTGCATCATAATAGATTATGGTTCATGTAAGATCGCGAAAAATCGTTTGCTCACATTTAAGATATCATTAGCTTAACAAATATTATGATAGTATTTCATTCTATGAATATGTATGTTTTATTGTTATGTTGATTTTTTACCGCGCTTCGCTCCCTTCATTAGAGTTGATACGATTTGTGATTTTATAGTGAAATTAATACCTTCTCTGCTTCGCATCGAAACTAAAATAGTGTTACCATTTTAAAATTGAATGTTGATACTGATTTAAAAATGAAGGATCATAAAAATGTAATTTTACTCACTGAGCAGACCAAGATAGAAATATAATATTTAAAAAAAAAAGGTTACTTATATTTTCAGAGATAATTTGTGAGGCATAGTTAATCAATCAATCTGTATAGTATAAATATACATAAGATGATTATTTTAGACTAATCACTCGATTTCTCATAAAATAATAATTATGTTAAGCCAGTTATTTTTTAGTGTCATATATTTCTCCATTATTAATTATTTTTTGAATTCTTTTCTTATGTCTTATAAAGGTGGAACTTTATTTTATAAACTAGTTAAATTAGCGACCTATGACATATTTTTTACTTAACAAGTTTTATGTTATATTATTAACTTTATTATATAAAAATATTATTTTTGGTAAAAATGGCTTTTTTTAATCGTATTCCTGTTTATAATATAGTTTAAAAATATACATAAACCATCAATTATAGAAAAAGTATTTTTTCGTCTCTCTTAAAATATGAGGAAAAGTCTTTTTATTCAATAGAACAAAATTTAAAAAAGTAACAAATAGTCATAAAGTAGCATAAATAAAATCAATATAATAAAACATAATTAATTCATGAAATTTGTGGTTAAAAATATCGATAATTTTTTGTTTTTATCTTTTTGGGTTCATTTTTTAAAATAAAAACCGGCATATAATAATTAACGTATTAATTATTAATGTATTTCTTATCGTATTAAACACTTCAGAAAGATAAAATTCTTAGTAAAGTAGTAAATGATAACGTTTCTGTAACAACCTACAAGACGACAATTTTTTTGCTCCACGTGATAACTATATCAACTAACATTTGATACATTTAATAAATTTAATCAACCAACTTTTGAATACGGGGGCATGTGCTCCTGTGCCTGCCTCAAAATTTCCAATGAATATTATCAAACCTTTGATAGTCTAAAATTTAATCGGTTTTCTTAACTATAGATAAAAACTAGTGTTTTTTCGATAATATTGAACTGCCGACTGTCGAACAGTTACTATGATTGATATGATTGCTAACCATTCAGCAAATTATGCGGATGAAAACAACTAAATGAAACAATAAATATCCTATTTAAATGAAAATTTTCATGAGTGGATACTTTTGACAATCAATATTTAATATACGGTAGTTTTCATTCGAATAAAGACTAAGGAATATTAAATACTAAATAGTCAAAAGTATTCAGTGATGAAAATCTCTTTCGGAAGTATTTTTTCGAATTAAAATTATCCTGTACATTTATTCTGTATTTAGGTCCTGTATATAGAGTTGGCAATATCAATGTTAGTTTGGGCGTTTCATTAAATTTAAAGCGTACTTTTTAATTTGTAATTAATAACTCATTTTAAATAATTTGTCCATCCCTGTCTGTAAAGCGAATGATTAAAAATGATTTGCTCTTGTATGATCAAATTTGTATACAAGCTTATAGTAATTATGTTTGTAACTTATTAGTGAAGTAATGGAACAAGATGTGGTGAGCTTGTATGAGTTATCGAGTGAAGATATCATTAAGTTTATTTCAAATAATCATTTAGAAGTAAAATCGGAAATGCAGGTTAGTTTAACAATTCAATATACTTCTATTATAACAGATTATTTAATTTATTCAGAGTTTTTTATCCTATTATTGTTAAATAGGGAGACGGTGCCAAATACACACTGTCTCGAACTCGAGACTCGAGAGATCGGTTCAGTAATTGGTGTTGCCCTCTCTCTCCCCAGTGACGAACTAACCACTCGTCCCGAAGTTTCCTTCCTGTTAAGAAACATTTTCTTCAAGGTTTTTACTATAAACTTTAATGGATTGCAAAAGCGTTTTAAAAAAATTGTTATCAAATACTTGAATAGAATTTTTTGCATAATTAATTTCTTGAATAGTAGTATTTATTTATTATAGGTTTTTAATTTAGTAATAAATTGGATAAAATATGATGAGGATAACCGACAACAAATATTGCCTGAACTAATGAATTATATTCGATTGCCTCAAGTGCCCAAGGAAGATTTGGAAGATATATACAGCGAACCATTATTGGTTGCTCAAAAGGACTGTAAGTTACCTTTTTTTAGTCATACATTTTAGATAAAATAAATAATTTAACTATTTGATTTGGCATTCACTTATAAAATTATACATACAACAGGTCTAAATAATATTTTAATGGAAATCGCTAAGACGTATACAAGTTCACCGAAAAAATTGGAGAACTACATAGGGTCGTCTTTCAAAGGAAGAAGACGAACACCACTTAACCTAGGAACACCTGAAGTATAAAAGAAACGTTTTCAATCATGAAATTATACAATTTTAACAATTAAACATTCGTTTACAACTTTTCATTGTTTAATTTACATTATAATTCATATACAAGTTAAAACTTTGTTTTAGTAAAATATTTCTTTTAGTGTTGATTATGCATATATAACTTTTGAATTAATATTTTATCATTGGAAAAAATTTAATTTGAGTTGTTAGTAAATAACTAATATTTTTGAAGGTTATAAATATTACATTAAATGTGTATTACCTTGAAGAACGTTAATTCTATGTTAAAAAGGCATATATAAAATTAAAACTGTAATTTTTATTCTATTTAGGTGATTTTTGCCATTCGTAATATACCAGAGAATGATAGTAATTTTATTGAATATTTAGACACTACTAGTAACAGTCCCAAGTGGAAGATTGGAGTTTCTTTATTAAGCCCTCAACGGAACTGGTCACAAATAGTATCTACTGAACGAGGAACATTATATGCGATTGGTGGTGTAACAAAAGATAATATTCCTACCACTCATGTTGATTTATTAGATCTTACAAGTGTGTGTCATAGATGGACACCTGTAGCACCAATGCATATACCACGTAAATGTTTTGCTGTGTGTATACACAAAAACAACATATTTGTTGTAAGTGTACTTTATCCTAATTAAATGAATTAAAATTTATAGTTTCTCAATAAATATAAATAAAATCTCAAGACAAAAATGGAGACTTCAACACATTAAGTATCATAAATAATTTGATAAAATACGAGTAGTCCTTTTTAACGCAAAACCTTAATGAATGTTAACTAACAGAATTTAAATAGCCTTAGTGAGGCGGTTAAGCAAAGATTTAGTTAATTATTTGTTTAAATATTCGTTAGATTAATTAATGTAGTAGTCATAAAGCGTACGATATTTTAAAGGTTGGTGGAGCTGGTATCGACGGGTATTCGTTGGATTCCATTGAGATCTACGATATTAATCTGAACAGATGGAATTTAATTTCATCAACTATGAATATACCACGAGAATTTTGTAGTGCTGCTTATCATGACGGATTTATTTATGTTGTGAGTTATCATAATTTTATTTTTATTTATTTAACGATTGTATTATTGAATGATTATTAGATTGGAGGAATAACCAACAATGACGAAACGCTTTCTTCAGTAGAGCGGTACGAAATAGAAACTGAAGATTGTGTATTATTAACGTCCATTATGCCTCTTCCCAAGTACAACACATGTGTTGCTAAAATTGATGATCTTCTATATGTGATTGGCGGTGTGAGTCTTATCAATGGAAACCGAACTTACTATAGTAGTGTGCATGCTTTCAATTTAACAACACACGAGTGGATACTGTTACCTAATTTATATCGTCCTCGAAGCCAAGCAAGTAGGTAGTTTTCAAAATTATTCTTCATACATTGTTTGGTAGAGAGCACCTTTAACAAAGACCTAGTGGACCTAATGTAACGCCGTCGAGTATTTTATATGGTTGACAGCTGATCTTTGGCATTTTTGACTTACCTACCCTCTCGCTCACTCATTTATTAGTTTTGTTGCGCCCTTGTGCTCAAGCTCTTAAAGCTCTTGTGCCCTTCCACACTTCCGGTGATGGGTCCTAATCATCAATGAAGAACTGTGATTATACGCGGCCATTCACAACGTCGTATAATACTTAAACCTAGTCAGTGGTCACGCCATCATTAACATTCTCATACAGTCCACTACTCATCACTATCGCCACATCATCGAAGACTAATGGTTTAGTTAATTAATGATTTTTCGATATATGTAATTTATTCATTTTAATCTTAACTGTTTTGTTTTATGCCGGCATTACTATTTAAGGGCCTGCGATACCGTTCCAAACTTAAGATCCTCATTACAGAACTTAAATATATTAATTATTTAATTATTATTTTTGGGTTATTAATTGGATGTGCGGTTAACCGGCATCTACCCAGGTGACCCTTTCTCTTGCGTTTCAATAATAAAACATGCAAGACGACAATAAATTGCGGTACACGAGTAGTCGCCCTACGGTCTAACTATGTCGTACGAAACATGCGTCATTGATCTTACCTTGTTTTGCACGTATGATATGGCCAAAATATTTTGTTTCAGATGTAGTGGTTATTAACAAAACCTTATACGTGTTCGGAGGATTTACTAAGGTCAAAGAGGCATTGCTTACAACAGAAATGTACGATGCTAGGTTGAACAGATGGAAAATGACAAGTAACATGCAGTCAAGATTCAAAGACCGCAACGCCATTACAATTAGCAAAAAATTACTACAACTTACTGGCATTTCAGATGTCATCTAAACTATTTTTTATGATTGAATTTAACTATAACAGATTTTATTATCGAATTTATTACATTTTTACTCCAATTGAATCGTATTCAAATCATCTTTACATATTTAACTACTATATTACAATTAAATAATTACGTTAAATTTTGTAATTTTTTTAAGGACGTTATTGTATTATGAATAATTACAGATAAAAGACATATTAAAGTTTGAGTATTTCTCGTATAAGCAAATTATTTATACAATTTTATTTTTATATTTGACTATTACTTTATTTTATAATTATATACTGTATAATTTATAATAAGCTATTCAATTTTTTATTTGATTGTGTAGGATAAAATATTTCTGTTTTTCGAAAATTGTTAAGCAATTCTACAAATTTTTCAGGCGAGAAAAAATAAAATTTTAATATTATGGTGTGAATTAGTGATTTAAAATTTCGAAAAATAAAATAAATTGAAATATTTTACTAAAACTTTTCATGAAATATTCGACATTTTTTTTCATATTAAAGTATATTACAAAAGCTTTAATTTAAGATATATATAAAAGTGTTATATTTCCGAAACATTTTCAAAAAATAAGTGGAAGAAGTTCTTTTTTTTATATGAAATTTTAAGTTTTGAATCCCTCCCTGTCTAATGGAAAATGGTCCTATTTAAAAAAAAATTAAATCGAATGAAAACGGTATATACATAGTATTTATCATAAAAAAATTGAATTGTACCATAAATTTTTCAAAAAGTTATAGCATTATAAAGTTAAAAATATAAAATAGAATTTTTTTATTAAAATCATATTTTTTTTTATATTAATTTATATTTTTTAAGCTTTAATTTAAAACAAAAGTGTCTATATTTCTGGAACTCTTTCAAAAATTAAGCTGAAAAAGTTGTCATTTTAAATCCCTTTCCGTGGTCAAATTAAAAAAAATTTACACCAAGTGATAGGGGTAAATACCAAAAATACCAATACAAATACATTTACATTTATCCATACTTTTTTGAAAAAGTTATGACAGTTTTAAGTAAAAAAAATGAAAAAAATGTGGAAAATTAGCGATATTTTTAAATTTGTAATTTTTTTGGAGATTTCCTCATCGACGGGGAACGAGGAAAATTTTTTTTAATTTTTGACGGTTATGTCTTGGACCATTTATAGAAATCTGATTCAAGGAGAGCTGAGAAAAAGTGATAACAGACACAAAAAATACACTTCACAGTAAAATTAATACCTTCTCATCATCGCATCGAAGTTAAAAAATAAAATAAATCAATAAACTATAGTAAAATTAATACCTTCAAAGATTTGCATCGAGGCTTAATATTAAGTGTAATATTCATAATTTTATGCGAAAATTAATATTGCTTGACTTTTACCGAGTTATTTATTATTATTTGCATAAGAGAGTTGTTCAAATAAAAAAACACATTAATTTTTATTTTTTGATTAAATGGTTAATAAGTGAATCTTTTTGTAAATCATTGAAAGCGTTCTATAAAACTATAAAATAGGTCAATTTTAATTTATTTCATTATTACAATAAGTTTAGAATTTTTAAATTATTCAAATAAGTACAAGAATACAATTTAAAATGAGAATTTTATGGTGCGTTGTTTTTACAGTTATAGTGTATACGTCACAAGAAGTCATTGCATTCGATGAATACTGGGAATATGTCAAAAATGATCTGTGTGTTATTAGACAAAATAATGGCAAGATCAAATTAGTTGAAGCGCATTATTTAAGTTTTGACATTCGATATTATTATATTTTGGTGATGAGTAGAGCTTTAAAGTATTTATTTTTAATTTCTTATTATGGAATGTTGATTTGTTTTAAAACAGAAGATCTAGAGGGATATCAGAAAATACGTGACGTGTTAGTTATCGTTACAAATAAGGTTATGAACTTCATGAACAAGAACTATTCAGATATAGATTGTTTGAACATTCCAATATTACAATTATATTCTCAAAATCATAGATCATTTCTCTTTTGCATACATTTTTTTAATATTATGGCCAATATAGTTAAAGATTGGTTCGCAGATAATCCTACTAATAATAACACTACTATAACGGTTGTTAATCTGAGTAGTGCTTATAATTGGCCATTATACAAAACTGTGGGAAATTCAGAACATATGAAAAATTCATTGATGTATCCTCCTGAAGCAAATCATCCAATTACTCAATTGTGGATTGTTTTTTCGGGTCTACAATTATTTATGTTAAATGAATATGATTTAAATATAAATAGAATGTAAACATATTATAACTAAAATATCCAGAAATTGATTATTTATTCTAATATTCATCGTACTATTAATCTTAAATATTGAAAATTATAATTTTAATAATTTACTTTTTTATTTGTCAACTGCTTTCCGATTTTTCTGTATGGTAAAAAATGTGCGTTACAGTTTTTCTATATATCGGGTAATAACATTCTGCACTATTCACAGAACTAGCAAAAAAAATTATTTATTCGTAGATTTCGTACATCTATTTTTACCCATAGAAAAATTGGAGCACAGATTACACATATTTTTGTGACCTGAAGAAAAACCGGATGTGGGTTACATACAATTTTTCTCTTACCCGTAATTAACTAATAACTATTGATTCATAAACAATTTAAGGAAAAAATATAACATAATATTATGTAATTTATATTTTTCTTTTCATTGTTAGTAATTTTGTTATTATTATATAAAAATATTTTGAGTGTACTTTCAGAGTTTACTTAATAATTAAAAATACACACACACACATATATATGTAATTATTTTCAAGATTCCTTTTCTACGCCTCATGAAATATCTTTGAAAAATTTGGAACTAAACATTATTTATTTTTTTTTTTGACAATAATCGTTCTTTGTTGAGCTACTTTACACAAAAAATTTAATCTTCTTATACCTTAAATTCGTATCTACTTTTGATTTTTAAATGGCAACCTTAATTTATTCTATTGAAAATACTTGGACATTTATGTTTGACGTGTTTTAGCTGCATAAAGTTGAGGGGTATAAATAAAACGCGTACTTATTTTTAAAAGACGAATGTTTCCGTTTTTATCGGTATTCGATATGATAATATTGTCGTGTCGTATACCTATAAATGTAATCTATAACTGATTCATGAAAATAAAAAAAAAATCATAAGTATGATTTTACGTTGTTGATAAGTTGTGTTCTTAAAGTAGTGGAGAGTGGGTGAATGGCACCAACCTAAGGATAAATTTAATAAAAAAAATACCAATAATAATCATTACAAGAGACCGTTTGATGTATTTATAACTAAGAACAAAAGTTTCGAAAATTACAGCTTATAGAACATACAAAAATAAGTATATTTTACCATTTAATGTTATTAATTATGAAATTCAATGTAGTTAAAATTTTAAATAATATTCACTCTTTTGAACAATTAACTTCTGTTATTGTAATATTTTGTAATTTTATCAAAGGTTACCAAAACATGTTTCAATTTATTAATTATAAAATGAATATTTTATATTCCTTTGATTTTCTATTTAAAGTGAAGATAATTTTAAATTAAAAATTGACCGAGAAAAAAAAATGTTGTAGTAAATGTATGTTACTTATTAATAACATACTTTGCGATGTATTATTATTAAAATTTGAACCAACTCTATATTTTATCGGAATACATAAAAAAATCACATTAATTAAAAGTATATATTTCTTGTTAGGCGGTGATTTTTTTAATGCGAAATAATAAAGTAAACAATTGGTGCTTAAGTGAAACACTTATTAAACATAGATATTTTACTATCAACTTATAATATTCTTTTTAAATTAATTTAAACAATTAGTATACTCTTGTACATTCGGTGAATATTGTTCACCAATTTTAAAATTAAAATAAAATACACATCATAGTAAAATTAATACATTTTCACTTCGCATCGAAGCTAATGACATTAATGAATTTATAATTTTGATGTCAAAACTTGTGTAAATTCAATACTTTTTTTATAATAAATCATTTTGAAAAATTAAATTTAAATTCCAAATAATGCAGTTATTACTTAATATATTATATTACGAATACTTTTTTAATGCAATAACTAAAGAAAATTATCAAAAATAATAAGTATTTTAAATTTTATTTCTTATTCCATTTAAGAGAGTAGTAGGAAGGATTTGTGAATAAAAAATTAATAGGGAAATTCGGCTTTTTTAGCTAGTTTTTATGAAATTTCTATAGATAAAATAACTTCCTTATTTTAGAAAATGACTGGTCAATAATAATTTTTGGTACCATTATTTCGGAAGTTATTCTCATTTTAATACCCAGACAGGAAGAAAAGTATGGCTGAGAAATTACTAGTAGTAAAAATATCTTCACCTACTTATCTACAATAGAATTATAACAACGAATTATTTTCAAGATTCCTTTTCTACGCCTCATGAAATATCTTCGAAAATTTTAGAACTATAAATTATTTATTTATTTTTTTTACAATAATCATTCTTTGTGGAGCTACTTTACATGAAAAATTAAAATTTCTGCTATGAACCCTATATCTTAAATTCGTATCAACTTTTGATTTTTAAATGGCAACCTCAATTTTTTTATATGATCAAATTTATTTTACTGAAAATACTTGGACATTTATGTTTGACGTATTTTAGCTGCTTAAAGTTGTGGGGTATAAATAAAACGCGTACTTATTTTTAAAAGACGTATGTTTCCGTTTTTATCGGTATTCGATTTGATAATATTTTTTATATGACCTCTTCAACATTAAAGGCGCTTGAGTTAAATATATTTTATTTTGTCTTCAACCTCTTGTGGACAATTTTCATAGTTTGAAATGTTGACAATAGAGACTAGAATAAAATTAGCATACTAGTTCAAAAACAAATTTTTATTTTACTTAGAATAATTTCTTAATAAATAATAACATTAATTACAATTTTGATCATTATTCTAGAATAAAGAAAACCGTTTAAATATTTGTAATAAAAAGTCAGACATGATATTGCTTACCAAATACAACCTTACAAATTGGTAACTGGCTAAAACTGTTTTCCCTTTTATACCTCAACCAACATATGAGTAATGCAGCAATACTTTATCACTGAATATTTTAGTCATTATTCGTTATAATTTTTTTCTTACATTACCTCCACCCAATAATGACAGTTTTTTAATCTACTATGTAACAAAATATCAATGAATTGACTTTTTAAAAAATGTAATTACATTTTTTTCGAAAAATTATTCAATATAATAAAAATANTTCTCTGATATTAAGTTCTTTGTAATTATTTACGTTTTTAATTAGTTTTATGGTTTTAATAGAGTGATTATGTGTCAATAAATGTTCAGCCACTGGAGATTTCTCAATTTCTTGATTTTTTATATTTCTTAAGTGCTCTTTAAACCTGACCCCTATATTTCTTTTTGTTTGTCCTTTATAAAATATTAATAGGCATTTATAAAATACAATGTGAAAGTTGTAATAAATGTTACGTAGGACAAACAAAAAGAAATATAGGGGTCAGGTTTAAAGAGCACTTAAGAAATATTAAAAATCAAGAAATTGAGAAATCTCCAGTGGCTGAACATTTATTGACACATAATCACTCTATTAAAACCATAAAACTAATTAAAAACGTAAATAATTACAAAGAACTTAATATCAGAGAAGCAATAGAAATGTTTAAAAATAAAAACAATTTAATTAATTGGGATCTTGGCCCACTGAAAAATTCATTATTAAACTTGTGTAAACTGGCAAAATGTGATAATATTACTTAGTGATAACGTCACTAGGTGATAAGGTCACTAGGGGTATATAAGGGAGTTTTTTCTAGTCGGGGTGTCAGTATGTGTTTAGCGTTGATAATGGTAACATTGTTTCCGAAATACGTATCCGCGACTTTTCATTAATTTTTTTGTGGCTTTTGAGTTTAATATTTTTAATATTTTTTAGTTTTTTTTTAAATTAATAATATTTTTAATATAGTTTTAATTTTACTTAAATTATTCAATCATATTAATTTACAAAAAAATTAAATCTATAATTTAATAGTTATTATTATTCAATAATTAATCATCAATATATTTCTTAAGTATATCTTATTAATAACACTGAATTCTCAATTCAGATTTCAAATTAATATAAAAAAAACAATGCAGTCAGACATATCAATATAATGTGTATTTTAACATAAAAAAAAACCCAGCACAGTGGAGTCGCGGAACAGTGGGAACGTGGCATAGTTGGGTCTAGTATAGATTTAATCTGTCAGTGATTAAAATCACTATCATTAGAAACGCTTCCATACAAATCTATAGATAGTGTTTAATTTTAAGAAATTGGTGAATAATACAAAAGCTACATCAACTTCTATTTCCTTAATTATATCCAGATTAGTAATTCTTTTACTTATATATTATATAATTTTTATAATTAATAGTTTTCAAATTATTATTGATTTTTAATATGTTGAAAGTAATAATTTTTAACCTACTTTTTTTTGTCCTTTAAAGTGAATGTTTATAATAAGTAAAAAAAAAATTGATTACCATAACTTTTAGCTCAATTTGCAAGTTTGAAATTGACATCATTAAGTAGAAAAAATGGTATTGTTAAGATTAATATGCAATCAGGAAATTTTATAATTACTATTTACAGTAAATTTATCAGAAAAGCTCTATTTTTTTTGCATTTTTATGGTAATAGATCACTTAAATATATAGCATAGAAATCACTATTGTGATTAATACACTAATGTAATAATTAACTTTTGGTGTTAAAAAGATTCTCCAATTGAAATATACAGAACTGAATTAATTTTAATGATTTACATTAACTAAATGAACCAATAAAAAAAAAGTTGTTAAAAAGATTTACTCATTTGAGTGTATTATGAAATTTGATTATAATTGTAAAAATCGTTAAATTCAGGTAAAACTAAAAATAATTTTTTTTTTTTTTAATTTATGATTTATACAGCCAAATGTTACAAAAAAATTTGGAATATCATAGACTGGTAGTAGCACACACAAATAGAGTTAAAAAATTAATAAATTACATAGTAAAATTATTTACTTTTGTTGTTGAACACTTTTATCATATCAAATCTAATTCGACAATAAATACTTTAAAAATATTATAAATGAATGTTTTCAATTGTTTGTATGGAAAAAGCTTGTTAAGCTACTTTTTATTTACATAAGAAATATTTTTTTCAATTTTTAAGGGTAATATCTTCAATTAAATACGAATTGTAATCATTTGACGTATCGTTCAAAAAAGTAGGTCAAGTGAGAGTTGGCAAAATAAATATGCCACAAAAAAACCACATAGTAAAATAATATTAACATGAATAAGAAATTTCTTAAATTATTTTAATACTTACAAAAAAAACAATAATTATAAAGAAAACATTCGTACCTTATAAATATTTTTTATATATGTCATATTAAATATTAGAAATAATTATTAATAGGATATAAAATAATTTAAACACATTAAATAATAAATATACAAAACATTACTTAAAAATTCCTTTAAGCCTTATTTATTAAAAGCTTACAAGATTTCAATTACTAATTAATAATTAGACACTTAGTAATAATAAGGTAGGTAATAATAAGTGCAAAAGCAACCATTTCGTTTTCATTGTATTTTAAAACAATAAAAAATGTTTGGGTACAATTTTTTTTCTAAGTAGCAACAGACGTATAGAGGGCCTTCAACTCCATTATCTCTAATTCTATTATCTCCAAAATTTACGATAGTGAGATAAATCACTATTTGATTTTCATGAATAAACTATGCATAATCTAAACAGTACCTTTTTTTAACAGGGAATTATATTTTCATAAATAGAAATAATCGAAGTAAGTCATCCATCTAAAAGTGTGTAATTGCAATTTTTTTAATAAGTGGTAACAGACGTATTTAGGGCTCAACTTCAAAAATATACTCTAAAACAAAATTACCAGTAATCTTAAAGCACATTCGCCTCTAAGTAAGAGGCAAAATATTAAAAAAACAAATATACCTAAAAATAATAGATTTGAAATACCTTCTCAGCTTCGCATCGAAGCTAAAACATTTAACAAAAACAAATTTAAAACAATCTTCTGATTTGACTTTTGGTTTGATTAGATACGAATAACCTGTTGAGTAAATGATCACCATTAACGTTATTTAAAAAAACTGCTGTCCTGGCCGGGGTGTGTGAAAAAAAAATTGTTTAATATATATTTTAAACAAAATGATTTAAATTATGCATAATCCAAATAGTACATTTTTATTAATAGGGAATAATAGATCCAACATCAGGAATAATCAAATTAAGTCATATGTTTAACACTTTGTCATTAAAGAATTTACCAAGATCACTCGATTTAATTCATATTTGTATTGCTAAATCAAACTTAAATCCAACAATGGAAATTAAAAAAGGTAAGACAATTAAATAACTTTTAAATCCTTATATATTTAAAATAATTAAAAAAACGTTGATTGTTAAAATGGTAAAACAAGCTTATTTTTTTTGTAATTTACTACAATATTAATAAAGTTAATAAATTTTTACAAGAAAAAGAAGTAAAAAATAATCTTAATATTCATTTCAAAGCCATTTTCAATGGCTTTTTTAATACAAATATTAAAATCTTTGTAACATTTATAACCTGTATTTGTATTGGGTTCCTACTTAGGATGAGACACGGTGACGTGTTGGAGTGGAATGTACACTTAACTTTTACGAATAACTACAATAATATAATTTAAGTTCTAGAATTTACAGTCATTATTAAATGAATGATGTTATAGTAATCATTCACAATTTTATATTTATGTGACACTTAATACAACATCAGATCGAACATTATTGAAAATTGCTTACCCAGACTATTAGTTGTACACTTACTAATTAACTAACTAAATCGTACCAACATTAATACTATAGTAATACGGGTTGGGCAGAGGTGTCGTGGAGCGTATACGGCGTATACCCACTTCTTTGTTTTTCTGTTATTGCGTATACTTATAAAATCATGAGTGATACGCGGGTATACAGCGTATACCCACTGTTAGTTTTCTTATTAGTGCATATACGTATTTATAAAATAGTTAAAGAGTATAGACTAAAGAATAAAATAAAAAGTAATACGTGGGTATCGAATATAGGTACGTTTGTCATAAAACACAAATTTTGAATAATTCTTATCAGTTTGTTTAATCTCTACAGTCATACCACATATAAACATATATCTGAAGTTATAAACACACAAATATGGCTCGAGACTATTATCATTTTAAAAATAGAATATAAATGTAAAACAAAACACTGTCAAAGTGTATAAATAAATATCAATAAAATAAATAGGATAATGTTTATCATTTCACGACAATTTTATTGACATTTGACAAAATTTAAAACATCGACCAGAAATTAACGATATAGCACATACTAAGTTGAAACTGAAAGTTATTGGGTTAACCTATAGCTGTTGAAATTGGTAATTTGTATTTTTCCGTAATAAACCGTTTACCAACCAATCTAGTATTTAATATATTACCTATAATGAATTAAGATAGTACTAACATGTACCTATTCACGTTTATTTCATTTATGTTTTAACGATTTGAAAACAATGATTGTAAGATTATTTTATTACTGCATAAAGTTTATTGTTTATTTATAAAAAATATAACAGTATCTAATAATACACTTATCGATTGTATGACTATGAAATTTAATTTATGTAAGAACTTAGAAGTGTCAGTAAAAATATTCGAGTAATAGTTTGGAAGTTGGAAGGAGCAACTGGGAGGGTTAGGAGTTTTAGTTGCATTATGTAATAATTAGAAAATACATATTTTTAACACAGTTAAAACATCACAATATTTGTATTCCGTCACCCAAAACTATGTTATAGTTAAGGCCTTTGAAAAGTAGTGTGAAGTGAAATTCCCCACGTTTCCTCATTTCGGTTTTTAACTTATCTATTGATCAAATTACGACTATATCACTGTTGATAATGTATAAAATTAAAAGTTCAACAAAATAATTGTGAAATATTGTATGTAGAAAATATAAACTGCAATGGGTGTGTGGGGGGCGAAGCCCCCACGTTATTATCTATTCATAATATAGGCGTATACCCATAAACATTTTTAGGACTACACCACTGNACTAAATCGTACTAACATTAATACTACAGTAATACGGGTTGGGTTAATTATTCATAAATTATTGTTGTTTTCAAATTAAAATTTAATACTGATCATTATATGTGTTTATATTCTATTTCAATATATTATTTAATGAATATTTACAATATTAAAAATTAAAAAAAAATTAGGGTGCCGAAAAATCCTCATCGAGGTCGCAAAACATGTGAAACAATAATGTCTGTTGAACAGTACCAGTTTCGAGACTGCAGTCGAAGAACGCGAATTTTAAAGCGCAGAAAACGGAAAATTCTTCCAGGTGACTCATATTTTGAGGGGTTTACGAAAATAGGATATAGAGGGAGTTAGAGAGAGACAAATTATTTTTTATTTATAGATTAATCAAGGGAAACTCAAAAACTATAAACGATAGCCCATTGAAATGTGTTATAAAAATTATGAACAGTCTAATCGAAAAAGAAAATTCATCAAAATGTATGGTTGTAGTGATGTCTAAAGCTTTATCCGCATCTCGTTCTAGTCCTACAGTAAGATATACAATAAACGCATGTAATTATTTTAATTTAATCTTGGCTAATATATCAATAACAATTAAATTGTATAGATATTTTTATTATTAATACTTTAAATAAACAAATATTTATTTAAACTAAATCATAAAATAATTTTTTAAATCCTTAAAAATATATTATTTTATGTAAACACAAAACTTAAAAAGATATTTTAAATAATATAATTATACAAATTTGTAATAGTTATATATTTTATATTATTTGTACAATAATTATGTCAAGCAAGATTCCATACTGTTGTGAATTCTTAAACTGTGAAGTTTGTATTAATAATATATTAACATTAATTAATCCCAGCATAAATTAAATCATTAATCTTAGTCTGTTTATTTTATACAGTAAATTTAATTAAATTTTTTATTCATCTCTAAACTGTTAATTATGTATTGTTAAATAGCTGTAGTTAAAAAGAACGATCAATGTTAAATATCAAATTTACTATTAAATTTAATAATTTTCTAGAAATTCAATATTAATGAAAATAAATATTGTAATTTATGGTTTTTAGTTTGCAAAATACAAACGCCGTATTAGACGACGATATCCACTTGAAGATCATGATCCTAATTCACAGGACAGTGGTTCTCTTACTGCTCATTCAGATGATTCTAGATCAGTGTCAACATTATCTGAGAGCAATACATCATATACAGATGATTCAGATGATGAATTCTTAGACATTGCTGTATCCCCAACAGGATCGGTAATTATTTTACCTTTTAAAAAGGTTAACAGTTTTTTTCATAATTTTATTTTATTTCTAGTCTCCAGATTCACTTCTACTTGGATTCAGTACATTAATAGAAGGACATATTATTAGCCAGTCATCAATTATTGTTAAAAGAAAAATTACAAAATATTCTTCAGATACTCCTCGCAAGACTGTAATTATTATAAAACAATTTATTATTTCAATAATCATAGATTTAATACATGTATAACTTATAGGATTTATTATTTGGCGGTATTAAAAATAATGAAGCAGTTGTGAGAAAAAGAAAGTTGACACGTGATTTAGAATCAAATCCTGAAACTATTGTATTATTAAAGAAAACTAGACCGAGTACAAGTCTTTCTATGTCATTTGATTCTCCATGACTTATATAAATGATTATATAAACAGTCCTTTAACTGCCCCTGTATCTCAGGGAAAGTGTACTTTATTTGATTATGGATTTTGTAAAAAAGAAAAACCAGTTTTTCGACGTTCATTTTCTACTAGTGAAGCTTCTATTAAAGCTGCTTTTGAAAAAGGTAGAAAATAAAGAAGATTACTTTTTTAAATTATTTATTCATTTTTAATACTCATTATAAATAAATATAGTTAATAAGCGATCATGTTTATTATAAATAATGCTTTAAAAGTGATAATATTTTAACTGTTTCTATATCTAAAATATATTGTTAGTTAAAAGGTCAAGTAATGTAAACATCACTTTTTTCAAATTAGAGTTATGATAGAATTAATAATAAACAGTTGAATAAATATTTAACAAAAAAATCAATTAAATCATTGGGCACAAAATATTTATTCCTATCTAAAGTCATAACAAAAATTAAAATTTAATTTTAGGAAATTTACTACTTTATCTATTAACCGATATAATTATTATAAAAAATGTTTTCCTCTAAAATTGTTTGTAATTAATAACTTTATTATTTCATTATAAATTATCTTTATGATATTTTTTATAATTTTAATAGAACATTTTGTATTGTTATGATGTTTAGAGGATACTGGAGAGAAACTAATTAGTGACTTTAGCAAATCATTTGTTTTACCTTTAATGCCATTTGGTCGCCATGCTGATCTCTGTAGTATATCCCTAGAAACATTAACTGAGTTACTGAATGGAGCTTATGATGACTTTATTGATTCTTATCTTATAATTGATTGCAGGTATATAATAACATATATTTTTTGCCTTCAATTTCAAACTTACAACTGATTTTCATATTTTTAATTAAAAATTCTAGATACTCTTATGAATTTGAAGGTGGTCATATTAGAGGAGCTGTTAACATTTTTACTAAACAACTATTAAAAAATTATACTGAAGATCAGTTAGGTAAACGATCTCCTAAAAATGAATCCAATGGAGGTAAAAGAAACTTATTGATATTTTACTTATACTATATTTTATTAAGTGATAACTGGCTCCCCGAACGGAATCTAAACCGGCCGAGAGAAGTTAAGGTAAGAGGCTTNAAGAAAACTAGACCTAGTACGAAATCTAAACCGGCCGAGAGAAGTTAAGGTAAGAGGCTTTGAGCCGATTCAGTTTTATTTCTAATTACAGTAGAACCTCATTAATCCGAACTAATAAGGGCTCTAGGTTGTCTGATTTAATGAAAGTCCGGATTAAACAAAATAACCAAAAAACATGTTCGTATTATAGATTTAAGAATATTATATTATACTAATTACTATGCATGATATACAATATATATGTATCGCAACATGATATTAGTTTATGATAACTTTAATGACGGTAGATAAAAATGTATGTACTTATGGGAAATTCGAGGAACTTGCTTTTATGTTTATTTTAGTCTACGGCATAAACCTCGTATTTTTCGTAATACTAGACAGCTGTCCGGATTAATGAGGTTCTACTGTACACTAGATTTTAGTTTTAACTTGGAACGGTGAAGTCTCCCTTACAAATTTTTTATTGTTCATATAGTTATTTGAACGAATTTCACTGATGGCAGCAGTGAATTTTTACCTGGGTTATTCACAGTTACGTGTTAACGGGATTAGGTCTCTGGAAAATTTTTTATAAAAATAAAGTTAGAGTAGTTTATCTAATACAGTCCGCTGTAACTATTGTCGTTGAAAAGTTTTGGTTACAGTTTATTATGAAGACCTTATTGATATCGACAGAAAGTTAATTTCCGGTCGATTGTTACAGTCTATTGGTAGATAAAAATAGTATATTTAAGTCTGACCTTGTCAAAGCGGCCGATTCCCAGGTAACCGTTATTATTATTGTTCACTCGGTGCCATATCATAAACGGCAGCCCCGTACCATCTTATCGCGGGTACTTTACGACATCAATAATAGCAATAATAATAACACTTGTTTTCTACAGCAGTAGCAAATTTGACCGTTCACGGAAATATTGTTTATCTCCGCTATTAACGTAGCTACTTTTGATTATTATGCGCTTTCCGACAACTACCACGCTACGCGACGAAACCCAACATGCTAATTATGCTAGAAGAAAACCTACGTAGCGAAGAGGGGAACCCAGCTACCGAGTTTTCACTACTCCGTACGCCGCTCGATAGCGAAATTCCGGTCCGCGAACCCGAAGTGGGGGTTTTCGACAACACCACGGACGGTGTCAGCGAAGAAGAAATCGACGCGAGCAATCAGCGGCCCGTCGTAGCGCCTTTACCGGAGGAACATCCGGTGAACCTCGTGCTACACACATCACACGACGAATCTGATGTCGACCAACCGGGGGATATGACGCGCGCAAGCGGACTACTAGGCACGCCGTACGTTGAGGACGTATACGCTGCTCGCTCGATAGCGCACGCGGCAGAACAAGTTGGGGCGATCCGACAGAATATTCGCGATATTTCGAATAACGCGCGGATTGAGGCACGGATGACTGAACTAGAAAGGTCGCTGTCGCGTATGTCAATGGAACAGCGACAGAATTCCAACATGCTTGAGCGAATCAGTCAAAGTATGCCGCCGTCCCCACATGTTGCTGTACAACCGAATATTCGACAAGTTAACGTTGACCGAAATGATAGTCGACGATCGGAAGCGCATCGCGTTACATTCGGTCCATCGGGAGCAACACTACACGAGCGCCTCGCGGACATCGAAGCACAACAAGCCCGCAACATGAGACGGTCGTACGTACAAGCGTCGCTACCTCGAATTAGCAAGACGAACATTATCAGCGCACTCATACATATGAGAACGAGCCGACCGATTTTTCGTTTACGCGCCAACCACGGGAGGGGCAATTCAACACAACCGACGATCGTCGGTCCTTTAATGATTTGTCGCCTACCCGCAGCTCGCGGTCGGTATTGGTACCCTACCACGACCTACGCACCGTACGCGCCTGTTTACCCGAGTATTACGGGAGAAACGAAGAGGACCCACGGGAGTTTCTAGACAGAGCGGAGGATCTACTCTGTCAGGGCGGTATACATCCAACCGCGTGGGTGAACATCGTCGTCCCGTTTCTGAACGACAGGGCAGGTGATTGGTGGCGAGCGATCAAATTAAACAATATGCCATGGACGGAATTTAGGTCCGAATTACTCGAGGAGTTCGACAATATCGATATCCGGACTGCGCTCGAGACGGACTTAAAAACGACGCGACAGGGCCGCCCCCGACAAGCGTTAACCGAGTTTATTTTATTTATTATATTTAGACCGTCGGTATCGGGGAACGGCAATCGGCTAGGAGGGAATTAGTCCGCCCCCCCAGCCTACAACAGATCCAAACAGGGCGCAGCGTTTTAAACGACGTTTCAGTTAAAACGCGCCCTACGCAATTTTTATCCGGTAACAACATACCACGCATCACGACCGTCGCGCAAAACACCGAATCTAACGGCCCTTACGAGTTACATACCGCCAACGATCTTGGCACTTTTTCGGCACCGCACCCCTCTTATCGTGATGGAGGGTACGCCGCGGTAAATTCGGATGTAATCAGGGTATCGGAATTCGAAGACACTGCCGACACGACCGAACATAGCGCGAGTCAGGTGTTCGGGCACAGTGGGGTAGGGGGTGGCAGTCGACCCGGCTAGTCCACTAATGGCAGTTAACACTGTCATTGGGCAAACCGGCGTCGCGGTTAAGAACCGGCTGCCCCTCGTTCGAACCGTAAACCACCCGAGTAATGAAAATGCCCGCGTAGAATTACTACTCCAGCAGTCGAGTTAGAATTCCAAAATGGCTTCGTCACAGCTTTACTCGACTCACAAGCGCATAAATCGTATGTAAAACCGATAATTGCTTATAAATACGGAACTGTTTAAAAAGGACACACCGACGTGGTTAGACTAGCGGACGGACACACCGCCACGATGAATGGTACCGCCAAAATCGCGGATTTAGAAGTGCGTTTTTCAGCGGTTATTTTAGACGACCTGTGTTCGCGCCAAGTGTGAGAACTGCACTGATTGGGTGTAGTCAGCTGGCAGTGCTTGTGCGCTATCACCTGTTAAGACGCCTTATCAGCTTATTACCGTGTTGTTCGGTCGGTTTTTTATTCAAAATGTAAGCGTGTACCGGTTGTTATTATTATACAGTTTAGTTTTTAAGTTACATTGGTTTTTCTTTTGAAGTAATTGTTGTTTTGGTATTAATCAGTAAAAACTTTGCTCAACTTTTCGTTTTAAATATATTGTTCATATTATTATTGTAATTTCATATAGTTGTATTCTGTTTTATTTTTTTTATTGGTTAGAAAAATATTACAATAAAGCTATAGGTGGCATATCACCTTTATAAATGGTAGTTCATTTTATTCAAGTTATTCAAACAAAATTAAAAACTGAATGTACGTAATATGGGTGTTTATATTTATTAATTATTTAATTCATCAATAATAAAAATTAGGGTTGTTATTTAAATTATTTCTTTATATTTATTAAGTTAACCAATCCTATTTTAGATAAACAAAAAATATTTTGTATTTAACAAATTCTAAATTGTATAGGAAATTTTTGTTGATTAATAGTTGCCCCTATATTAATCCGTACGACCAAGTTCTATTTCCCATTTATATTTGGGATTTTTTTTTTAGAACAGTCCAGGCGGCAACAACCTGTATTGCGACGTATTACTCGGCCATGATTTTCTGACTGATCAGAAAGTCGCCTGGGACTACTCAACAGGAACAATACACTTAGGCACTAAGAAACGTACAACCGCTTGTTGGAAATCGGGCGCACGACACACGATCCGCAAACCTTTACTTAGAATAATAATCAAAACGAGATAAATCATATAAAACTTGAACACACTAAAAGTACAATAAAGTAATACACGTCGATAAAGACTTATTGTCAGAATTATTTCAACAAAATCTTACTACATCAAAATGAGATTATCCACAGTGCTCCCGGGGTACTCTCCCCGACAATTCAATTCATTCCATCGTATATACTAAAACGTTTTGTTTTTTTTTTTAGTCTAATACAAAGTTAATAATACAACAATTCTACAAAATGTTTTTAAACATTGTAAGGTTTCAGCCAAAACAGAGGGCCTACTAATTACCCACTGCCCAGGGGAACACTGGACAGTGACCTAGTAGCCGCGCCAAGCAGATAGTACTTGTTGACGGAGCTTCTAGGTTTTGATTAAAAAAAAACAAAACAAATATTAATAAAAACGAGGGAAAAGTATAGAGAGAAAAAAAAAGAGGCCATGTATAATATAATAACATTTTTTTAATGATTTAATTATTAAAAATTTATAAATATCGTTATTCATAAAGAAAAAAAATAAATAAAAAGAACAAGAGAGGTGCCAGTTACACAAAATTAAAAAGGGGGTTTCATGTTGATACTTGTCGTTGTTGTTTTGAGGAGTGATGGCCCACCACCGGCCATAGTTGTGCCTCACATCATCATCATCATCATTGGCATCTCAACGTTTTATTTAAAAAAAAAAACGGAGGACAAAAAAAATAAACTACAGCCTATACAGATATACGTTCTTTATATGGTGAGAACATCAGGTTGTGGTTCTATGGGAGTCGTATGGTTCGAGGGTTTAGAACGACAAAGACAAGTAGATATAAAAATAATAAAAGCAGTACATTAGAAATTGAGGTGTAATAAACTTTTGTCTTTCTAATGTCCTAACTAAGAGGCAACGAGACGGCGGAGCCAGTTCACGAATACCATATAACGTGATTATGTATAATATTTTAACCAACCAGTCAAAGTTAACACTTAAAGATATTGATTTAATAAACTATCTATAGCTTTGTCATCTTTAACTAAAAATTATCAACTCCAAATAATTGGGATAACATGAATTTACTTGCTTCTTTTTTTGTTTTGCAAATTGCTGTGAGATTATTTGATAAATATTTCATTATGTTTATATAATTAGAGATATTGGATTTGCATTTCGTCACAAGATAAATAATTAAAACAAATTCTTTTCGTATATAAATCACACGCGTAAAAAAGGTAGCCGACAACAACACAGGTTTGTGGCTGACAATTGTTCATTTAGTATATACAGACACGGCTCCGCGTCGCTTCGTTATACGCGATGCCCCGCGACTCGTGCCACTTTTATCAGCCGTCGCCCTATTTTATGAGTACTTGACTGACCAACACCGCGTGCCATACGCCACGGTGCAAATGATACGAGAGTCTTCTTCCCGTTGTCAGCGTGACAACCATGACAAAATAGATAGGAATGTCAGCAACTTTGTGATACGCAACCCACTCCTCACCCCATCTATAGCTGGTTCGCCTCATTTCATTGGCCGAATATTTGTATGGTCATTTTCCTTAAATGTAGTGATATTATTATAATTTATGCGTTAATATTTATTATTGTGCAAAAATAATTTGTAGCGTATAGAGGAACAATGAAAAATTCTGTATGTAATATACTTAATATTTAGAAGTGCTTTCATTGCATTAAATGAAATATAATTTGCTTCACATTAATGTTACTTTTTTTTTCTTGCTATGTGAACTTATTATTATAATTTATTATTTAGAATAATTTAATTTATAATTGAGTAGGTAAAATACATGCTGTATTTGTGTAATTTAAAAATAATATTTCATGAATATACTATTTTTTTAAACTTACTTTAAAGGTAAAGGAATAGCATTTCGTTTTAAAACTTTCCTATCCTTATTTTTAGAATGAATTGTATAGTTATCATTTGTAAAATGCAATGAACAAACAACAGCTAAATATAAATATAACGATGAAATAATAGTGTAATTTATTTAGGATTCTGAAAAAAATATGACAATGTTAATTAACAGTTACTTGTTTTTACCAGAATCAAAATTTATTGGTTTTTTAGTTATTTGGCCTAATCTTATTTGTTTTTCCCAGAATTTTCTTAAGACTGGATCTTTTGGAAATCGATGCAAGGTTATTTTTTTATTTTTTACTAATGATTTTTTTTTACTACCACTAGTACAACCAAAAAACTCACAAACAGGCATTATGTCATCAAAAATATAAATTTAAGTAAAAGTATGTAAGTATATCAAGTTTTCAAAATATTTTAAGACACTTAAAATAAACACTGTTCATTTTGTTTAAAATACCCGGCATAATCATTTCATATCAAATTATTTGCAAATTGATCATATTTGTTTATATTGTAGTATAAATAGATATCACAATAGATTGATATCAATCAATAACAGTAAAAGGTAAAGGTATCATAAAAAAAAGCAATATAAAATATTAAAGTTGCTGTCAAGTATTTAATTTAAAGAATTGTATTTTGGCGGGCAAACCTACGGCCAATGATATGAGGCGAACCACTACTATGGGTGAGAAGGGCGGGATGCGTCAAACGGTCCAAAACTCGTTTGTTGCTGACATACCTATCTAGTTTGTCATGGTGACAACGTCGAGGATGTTCGCCCCGGCTTCGGACGTGCCGCACGACCGGACAAGACAAACCGATCAGCACCCGCGCACCGTCGCCATTAACGCTGCTAACGTTTTGACGCACGAGGATAATGCCGGACACCGATTGGTGGACGCCAGCGAAAGTGTCGAGATATTAAGCGAAGATTATTATTACTGTAATCGTCTCTTCGGTTTATTTGTCTTTCTTTAAAGTTAACCCGTTGTTGCTCATTAATAAACGGCCCACGGGTCTCTACCCTCAAAACCAGTGTCGACTACATTTTTGCGACGAAAGTCGCGTCAATACGATAAAATCGAATGTCGCTCTGAAAGGATTTTTGTGCTTTATATAGTGTAATATGGTACCCCCCCAACCAGGGATATTGTTGTCAGCGTTTTTAAGGAATGTCAATTTATTTTACAGATTAAATGTTACATAATTAATACAATTTGATAGTATTGTTGACAATGGTTAAATTATAGTATTGAACAGTGTGATTATTATGACAACTAATTTTATTTAATTAGTATTAATATAAAGTACAGATCATAGTATTTTTATTGATAATTATCAATTACAATATAAAGCGATATACGCGGTGACTTGCCGGTTTGGTATCGCAGGCGCCGCTTATGAGCGAGCAGCAAGCCCATCTCGAATGTGTCCATGTGACATACATCTAGTTAGCAACTATACAATCTTGCTCCCTCGTGTAGAATTTGAATAATAACAGGCTTTCCCGTCATATAACTAAACGTTCAGTAAACTATGATGTTAATATTTACATTATACAGGTTTTCGTAATATCTCTTTTTAATTATAAAAACATCTTTATTTTAAGATAACGGGCGAATTGAAAACATATAAAAAACGATTAAATTTGCGTTTTTATCGAGCGTATAAAATTCTGCGAGCTTGCATAAAAATGTATTCTCTTGATGGACACGATACGTCAGAAATGAGTAATTGAACCTTATACACTGTCTATACAATAAAAATAAATGGGCTAATAGTTTTGCAATGCTTTAGATGTGCACGAAGGAGATTTAAACGAAGACGACCGAAACGAAGTACGAAAATGTATAGTCAGAAATATAATTAAAATTATTTCTGGTAAAATTCCTCTAGATGGAGTTGTTTGTAGTATAAAATTCTTCATTTTTGGATCTGAAGAAATCCCTTTTGCAGAGTATTGTTGTGCTGCTTGTTACACGTATTTGGTTTTAGATGATTCCATGTTTTCTGTAAGTAAAAATTAACCAATAAAATATATTATTATACACCTTTTTTTTTTAATGAAATATAATTTTAAAATATATATCAAGTAATTACAATTGTTGAAAACAGCACTTTTTTATTCGTTTAGCAATTCAAAATTACTATAACACTCTGAAGATTGAATATGTTATTTTTTTAGGGACTAATATTACCAACAGCAGCAGGTATTAAACTTAATAAATTTATTAATTATTTGTCATCCAAAAATTTATCACAAGCACAATTTGCATTCCATAATTGCATTGCTAATTTAAACATAAATGGTTTTGAACAAATGAATTATGGTAAGACATTGAAATAACTTTGACATCCTTATATAATTAAAATAATTAAACGCTGATCATTTGTAAAAGAAGTATAATTTTTTTTTAATTTGTTCTAATATCAATTATATACTATATAACTATATTTTTACAAGAAAATAAACTGTATATAATCCTAAAAGTCATATTAAAGCCTTAAGAAAAACCTAATACGAATGTCAAACATCTTTGCAGCATTATAACCTATTTAGTTTTGTAAAATATGTGAATTATTCTAGTAAATATAGTAAAAAATGTAAGCCGCTATGTTAATAGTATTGTAACATTATTAAGTTATAAATAAATCAACCATAATTATAATATAAATGTGTTAATTTTAATTGAATAAATTATAAATACTAAAATGGAATTTTTTAGCTTTGATGCGAAGCTGAGAAGGTATTGGTTTTACTATGATGTCTCAGCCTTTAATTGGGTATATTTTTCTTATAAATATGACCCTTTACCTGCCCACAGGGGGGGGATTTAAAATGACGACTTTTTCACAAAAAATTAACTTTTTCAAATTTATATTTGAAAGTGTTCTGACACTTTAATATATATCTTAAATTAAAGCTAATATAATATACTATATTATGGAAAAAAAAAAATGTCGTACTTTATTTTGTTTTCATGGTGTAAATGGCTACCGAATGTTATTTTTATGTGAAAAACTTGATTTTATTTTTTATATTTTACACCAATACAATTTTTTTATTAGAATTAATAAATATTTATATAATTCTTTTATTCGATATACTTTATCTCAATCAGGATATAAATAGGAAAATAGCAGATCATGTAGCTTTTGGAATAATCCACCAATTTTTTAAAACCAAACACTATCTAAAGATTTGCATCCAAGCGTTTTTTATGATGGTGATTTTAATCACTATAATGATATCTGCATTATACTTGACCCAACTATGCCACGTCACCACTGTGCCGCAACCCCCTGTGCTGGATTTTTGTTTTTATTTTACAAATATTCATATATAAAAAAATTAAAATATTCATTTTTATGTGCTATATAGTATATGTACGAGTTGCGTATAATTAGTAGTAGTTTAATTTCTGACCTTAATTCAGTCGTATCGGTGATGCGATCGGTTTCTTGATTAGGAGTTCAAATATAGTTGATATTCGTGCGTATTTGTTCGCTGTTCCCTCAAACATAGTTCATTAATATTTCCATTTAATTCATTATGAAGTTCATATTGTTACTTTTGTGAATTTATATTAGAGAGATGGAGAAAAATGTGTTAATTGAAAAAAATATGACACAACCATCATCTTTTAGCTTCGATGCGAAGCTGAGAAGGTATTATTTTACTATGATGTGTTTTTTTTTTTTTTTTTTTTTTTTTTTTTTTTTTTTTTTTTTTT